TATGAAACTGATATATAATTATTATTGTTCACACTTACAATGTTCGTGCATGGGCAGTTAACTGGTTGGCAGAAAGTGGAAAAAATAAATAAAATCGAACACTGGAGCAAAATCTTTTAACACAGTACTATACAGTATTCACATATAGAAATGGTAAACCAAAAATATTGTAGGGTTTGGTAAGGGTAAGAAGACACTGGTTTGAGCGGTTTGTTTTGTGTCATTATAAATGATTTATTCTTGCTTTGTTCATAGGGCTGTGGCACTTGGCACACTTAATTTGCCTTATTTTCAAGTATTCACATACAGTACTCTATATTACACTGGCAAGATGATCTGTTGTTTGTAAATAAACACCATTTTTTTTTTTTTTAGAAAATTCTGCTTTACTGTATTAGCTAAGCTCCACAAAACTGAGCATAAATTTACCTTGAGAACTTAAGCATAAAAATACTTTGTGGTTTCAATGACAAGATGCCTTAGAGGAAAAGATCTTCATCATAAAACTGGAATATTCACATATCCAAGATGGTCTCAATCCCAACAATATCAGACTTTCAAGGTTAGTATTAAGCAAGCACCTGAATATTTTCCCCAGGATCCTAAGACACCTCACCTCTCACCATGCCCAACAAGCAGTGGTTATCAACATGTCAAGAGGTAGAGACCTCAGCCCTCTCTCTGATTAATTATTTCATATGATCCTATCAGGAAGAATGATTGGAGACACACTACTGTGCCTGATATATCGCAAAGACTTGAGCTTTATGAAGGTGAGACATCAGGCAGCAGGCATTATTTCAGTAATACTTTGAGTAAAATGAGCAATGATGAACAGGCAGTTTCCACAGTTCTTCCTGAACTCTTTGGGTGCAACGGTCAACTCCGGTACAACTATTTAATGACCCTTGAATGCGATGGTCAACTGTAGCTTGCGGTCAGAGAAAAATCACGGAACACACTAGACCCTTGTACATGCTGTCATATCCAGGCATCCACTGTAAACTAAAATGGATACTGTACACACATCCCCAACAGTTAGTTCACACATGGTTATGTAAACAAACTGTGCCAAGATTTCTCTCACTTTCTCTCTTCATTTCACCACAAATTAGGTAAAGAACAGGCATCATATCATCATAATAGTCTTTGTGAATGCATAGTGTATATAATACTGCTTCATACAAACAGATATAGTGATAATTAGTAGGGTTTTTGCTGACAAATACTGGCAGGGTATTTCACTTTTTCATGGTGAAATTTCATCACTTGAATATGGCCATGAAATCACATGTTCACCCAAAGGATTACGGTGGAGGTGGGCATGGTAGGAGTGGAGGGCATCTCATGCTCACCTTCACCACTGAGTTATTGAAGTGGACTTTTTATGAAACTTAAGTTACTGAATTGTTTACATTTATTAAAAAAAATTTTCATAAGCATTACATTTTTAATCATTTTATTAGAAAATTTAATCTTTCATCATTTTTCATCAGTGATCAATTAACCATGCCCTACATTACATGACACCCAAATTGAATTCATGTTTTGCTTATAGTAGTCAGGAAAATTCTCTGTGACTGAGGTTATTCCCATAAAAATGCCAATGAAGGGTTACAGTATATATTAAGGGTACAGAAGGTCAATCATTTCTCCAAGATCTAAGAAAAAAGTTCAAAAGAATTTCATAAAACTGTATCTTGAAACTCTTGACCTGGAAAAAGAAACTACCTTATTTACCAGGTAGTTTTCTTAAGGAGTAAAATCTTCTTCTGCATACTCACATAGCTATCAAAGTCACCCATTTTACTGTAATACCTGAATACACAAATGGAAGTTTTGAGGTTTGAGCAAAAATCATTACAGTACTTCCATTCCCACAGGACATACATCTGCATAATGATGGGTTGTTAGACAAGCCAATTTTGTTAGTAAATAACAAGCAAAAATTCATAAAGCATATCAAGTAAAGCAATTACCTATTTACATTATTAACTACTAGTGGGAATTCAATGAGCTTCACATTAATGTTTTAATTTCAAAGTTCATGAACAAGTCCTCTGGCTTGTTGCATGATATAATAACTACCAAGTACAGTACTGAGATAAAACTGCAAGAAAACTGTCAGGAACATATAAGATTCCTTTCTAACATCCATTGGTTAGTTTATCCAAGGCAATATTTTACGAAATTACTATAAAAACTGGCATTCTTTAAGCTCATTCTGTGAAACAACTAAAATTATCCATGACAGAGTCTATCAAATCTGTTCTCACAGTAAATTTATGGATTTTTTATTCTCATAATAATGATATATTAGGATTCAAATAGCAAAATTGGAAGTTGCTTTGTAATGCACAATGGTAAAACTAATTCAGACAATGTATTAACAATTCTATTTAAACTTAATGAACTATGGCTTAAAAATTAATTATATTCAATCCCAGCAAAACACATAAGAGAGCTTGAGATATAGTTCTTGAATGCCTTAACCAAAACAGTGAACAATGAAAGAAAAGTGTATCATGTTACAGTGATCCCTCATTAATAGGGGGGAAGGGTGTCCGTTTTAGCCGATTGTCCGAATTAACCGATTTAGGGGTTAATATTGTTGTTTTTATCATTATTTTTTCGTCACGATTTTATCCACTTTCCACTGTAATCGTCGTCATTTCAGCAAAAATATTACATTTCCGTGAATGCATTATATCAAGCACAGAATGAATAGAATACCATTGTAATATAACAATATTTTAACCAAAACTATTAAAAACGAGTAACTTCTCTTGAACATCGGAAGGTTAGGTAAAATCTTTTGTTTTCGTCATGTATTTTATCCTATTTTACATTAAAATACATCACGTTCAACAAAACTACTATTTATTTCGAGAATATATTCATTCAGGCACAGTTAAGGTAAAATATACATGCGATGTTACAGTTTTTCTGAAAACGATTGACGTGTACCGTCTAGCTGATACTCAACAGCTGGTGGAGGCGTCATGAGTGGTTGTAAACAATAGGAGGTTGAAGTAGATGCGGGTATTATACTATTAAGTGTGAAATATGAAAAGGTTTTTTCTGATGTATTTTTGTAGATCAATGAGAACTGTGATACCGTATATGATATGATAATTGTGTGCTAAGAACTTCAACATAGACTACTGAAAACACATTGTAAGGTAATTTAGCCTATTGTAAGTTGGTGAGCTTCATTTGCTGAAGGAACTGCACAACTTTTCATTACTAATTGGTACATATTTTACGTTTCCATTGTTTACTGGCAGTAAATGGTAAATATTTTTCATGTCTGAAGCTAAAGTTGCATCCCCACTAGTGGTGGAGATGTTACATTTAACCAAAAAGACACTGGTGTTTTATCCCAGGTGGGTAGACCAGCATTTTAGCTTAAGGTCCGCCATATAATATTCCTACAAATCTAAAAAAAAAAATAAATAAATAAATAAATAAAAATAATAAAAAGTTCAGATTTTGTCCGAATTATCCGAAATCCGGATTAAAGGGGTCCGAATTAACGAGGGTCGCAGTGGAAGCTGTATAAGTTTTAATTCATCCAAAGCAATAGGCAACTTTTCTGCAAAAGAATGCAAGCCATATTATAGACTTTAACAGTTAAACCAGAACAAAACATCTTCCAAACTCAACGTATAATATCAGTGTTAACAATTTGGGGGCAAATTCGAGGTTTTGTTATTAAGTAGCATTTCATTCAATATGGTAGAGCATCAATAATTGTTTTCAGAATTCAAATACTGTATCTCATATTGCAATATCCTTAAAAATGCAAGGAAAAAAGAGTTAAGTAAAAAAATAATAATAATACTGTAATAATAAAAATAATAGCCAAATTTATGAGTAAATTATAAAGGATGACAAACACTATGTTACTTTACATTGGTTTGCTTCCAACTAAAATTTTTCTAATGAAAATGTTTTGCTCCCTTGAGTGCCATGGAATTTAAACACAGTGAACAAAACATTATATCAACTATGGTTTCATATTCAAGTACAGTATTATGCTATCACCCACACCAGAAGTTAGGGATTGTCTGATGCATCACTGAGTTTTGTTTTGTTTTAATTTTGGCCTTGACCACTACAGCCTCACTTGAAGATCTTCCATATATTTCTAATCTACATACTGTATGGTGCTATCCTTTAAAGAGTATATACAGTACTGTACTGTACTGTATTCTCTTTCACCCTTACTGTCTCTGCCTAATGAGACTGCTTTTTTTTTACCTAAATACTACATAATATCCTTTAACAATAACTGAAATATGCTAAATTAATTTCATGTATTCTATTGTCTCTGCAAAGGTAAGTTCATGTAACTGAAGAGCGGAAAAGTTATTTCAAGATTTTAAGACATTACTGCAGCAGTCTTCAGAAATTCTTGAGTGTGCTAGTTATGGCCCATCAAAATTTGAAAGTGTGCTGGCCTCAGTTTCAATGTTCAAGGAATATTGTGTAAATGGTGCCCTTTTAGAAGTGGAAAACATGAATTTAGTAAGGAGAAATCCTTTTCCCTGTCCAATTATCTATGAAATGTACTTCTCTTTATATTTAGTAAAATGTAAAAATTTTGCTTGAAAGAAATTTCTATGTACAGTCTCGTTCAAGATTCTTCGAACACTGTTGGAGACATCTGGCAGCTCAAGGCCGTTTGTTTACTATAGTACGTAGTATAATATAATATGAAACAACAAAGCCCAACCAGTAAATTAAGCAACGGGGAATTAAGTAACCAATCACTTTTACATTTATTCATAATTTTTACGAGTAAAGTCATCAAACAGATGTACTTAAAGCAATCCCAGTTGCAACACATCAAAGGAATAATACTGTACTCCGCTGCCACTATATTACCATAATGTTTATGATCTACTGAGGCTCTACCATATTCTACATGCCAATGCTGGTTCTGAATAACACATTAGACTGATAATGCATCCACGACTGACAACATGCCGGCTCACCTCGGGAGGAAGGCGGAGACTCCGGAGACAGGACCCCGGATGATGAGCAAGGGCTGAAGGAATGTCGAGGAGAATGGTGCGGAGACACTGTGGAGCAGATCAATATTGTAAAACGGAAGAGGAATGAGGTGTAATTATATCCACACATTAAAGAACCCCCCCCAGGTCTAGGCCGTTTCCCATCCCTATAAATACTGTACATATTTTATGACCTAGTGTTCCCTGCCCCTTTCTTTTCTTAAGGTTAATACAGTATTACTGTATGCACTTGTTATCCTGCTGTCAAAAAATGCAGCTTCCACAAAAACATAATAAAATACAGGTACAACATAAAAATAAAATTCCATAATATATAATTTGTCACAATTTGGTTAAAGTAATTTTTACATACCACATTCCAAACATCAAAGGCTGAATAAGCTGAAATTCCATAACATGAACAACTATTTAAAAATTAAAACAAAGGATGCACTCCACATCCTATACCATATTGTACTGCCCCAGTCCCATTTCTACTGCAGTTTCTTGACATTCAAAAAATGGTCATAAAATAAAATACTGTAATACCATTTCAAATAGAGCATTAAATAGTCAGCCAGTAAAGGAGACAAGCTGATGTGCATAATGTTCTCTCACTATCATCCCTTCCTGTAAATTTGTGTTAAAAAAATAATAGATGTTGTATAAATTATTATATTCATTCTATACAACCACATCAGATTTTTTTTAACTTAAATGTAAATACAGTACTGTACTTGTAACCTGAGTGTTCTGGTCACCACAAACAGGTACTGGTGGTATACAGCTGCACCCGTGATGCTTAAGGTACACACACTAATATTCCTCCCACATTCTATTCAAAAAATATACAAAAATTTTATAAATTAAGTTTTTCAATTCAAACTCACCAGCTACTAAGATATCTACATATAAAACTCTAATGAGTTTCACAGTAGTGGTGGCAAGTTTTGTATGGATGGCACCAATCTCTCTCTCATTATGGGTCCTTAATGGAAGTGGGATAAGTACATTACTGATTCTAACTGTACAAGAGACAAGTATGGATGGACAGTAATGCTTTCATCAAGGCTAGAGACAGTGAGGAGTCTAACACAGCACTGTTGTCATGGTAACCAGTGCTCTGCTGTTGTGAATGTGAGGCCCTGTTGTCATGGTAACTAGATCTCTGCTGTGTTGTGAATGTGAGGCTTTGTTGTCATGGTAACCAGTGCTCTGCTGTGTTCTGAATGTGAGGCCCTGTTGTCATGGTGCCAGAGCTCTGCTATGTTGTGGATGGATTCCTGTCTCAAACTGGTGATTCAGTTTTTTTGGTCACATCAACAACACAGCTCTAATTATCTGTCCATCAATTATTATCCAGTTAATCAGTTTGTTGTCACTATAGTTATTTGCCATTATGGTACTGTACTGTATCTTCCTTGTGGATCTCCCTGTTTCAGTTGTTATTGTTATTTATTTATCTTAATATACAGGAAATGCCACTGACCCATTTATACTTTAGACATCAAAATATGAATTCATTGGAAAAATTCAAATTGTTGCCTTTAGTTATTGACATTTAAATGTGCTGTTTTCAAGCAATTTAATGCACAATCTAACAGGTGTGATAAGTAACACATTACATGGATAGGAAAGTAAAATTTCAGGTAAAATGTATAACAAATAGGTTGTGATACTAATTACTGTACATGAACAACCTTTATTACAAAACTCATGTTTGACAAGATCTGCACTGGATAAATGTATACCGTAGCATAGTTTACTATAAACTCTTCATTTACTACACTGTACCAAGATAACTAATACAAAAAGCACTTACTTGCAATTTGATCTAATTTGTGAATTAAAGATTTCCTGGAGAGTAATAAAGCTGGGTCATCTACATCTTTTCGTAACCAATCAGAATTATGAGGCTTGGCCTTGGGAGATTCAAACAACCTGAAAAGACAAACAAGAATGTCACTTGTGTATTATACCACAGACAGGATCAGTCACCACACAAAATAAGACACAAGACTAAAAGTCTAGGTTACCTTTTGGCTACATAAAACCTACAGATACTCAATAAATACTCAAATTCAGCCATTCTATTTATTCATTACTTCCTGTCTTCTACTCAAACTACTGAAGGAGTCAAGAATGGATCAAGGTAAATTATCAAAATGCATATAAATAATGATAGTTGGTGTAGATTAGGTGGACTCAAGATTTTGGCTACATCATTTTAACCAGCTTTAGGTGATGACATCTAAATTAAACTTTTTTTCACTTTAGGAATAATTTCAGGGTTGGCCAATTCAAACATGTACACTCGCTACAAAAAGTATCTGCAAAAGTTTTTTGCTAGACAATGACATAACACAAAGGATTTTGACAACCCTACCGAGACAACAGGAGTCACAATGTTCACTTTGACACCCATCAGACCCCAACTTGCAGATTCTTTCTGTAGCGAGTGTACATATTCAGACATTACGGGAGATAGGGTTCTCCCACAAGAACTCTTTTGATATGACTTTCATGAACCTATTAATTTCTCAACTGCCACAAGTACAAATGTCTTGTTCTCTATAGTCTAGGCTAGTCTAGTACAGTACAGTACAATACAGTACAGAACAGTAATAAATTATAATCCAGTACATGTACCTTTTGCCTTCACCCCCTCAAGGCTGATGCTGAAGTATGAAGCAATAATGACTGGAATCTGAGCAGAAGATTTACAGTAGTACAGTACAGTACTGCATATCCGGTTGTTTCCATTAAACTAATGTACTGCACGGTATATAAAAAATCTAAATGCTTAGGACCTAGACACTGCCCATTTTCTTAATTTTCTGATTACAAAATATATATGCATTGTACTGTATATACATTTAACCAAACTATCTTGTGAACTGAGTAACTCAACCACCTAGTTTACAGCCTACTAACCCAAAGGATAGGATAAGTTACTGTACTTATGGTAGGAGACTGGGTCTCACCCTTGACAAAGTGGGTTAGGTCTGAGCCACAAACAACTGCTGGCTGAACTGGTAATTGGCAGAGTTTCCCCCTGGGTGATTTTTTAGAGAGGAGGAGAGTTGCAACTTGATGCTCCAACTCCCCAAATCCCCCTACCTTACATGAGTGGATGGAAGCACGGATGGGTATACAGTATATTTTCCTGGTACAGGTGTATTTCTAATTTAAGACAATTTTTCTTGTTGATAAGTTTCATTACAACCATACATATACTGTAGTGTATTAAAATTAGTATACAGTACTGCACTGTAATTGTGTCTATATTGATTTCAAGCCTTTATACAGTTTAATATATTATACATGTACTGTACTGTGAAATCTAACAGGTTCCAGGAAAGCTGGAAAAATTTTGGGGGTAAAAGATCTGAATCCCAGCCTGAATCATTAAACACAATTAAAATCATTCCAAGAACCTAAGTCAAAGGCTGAAATTCAGCCAATTGTGCTGATGTGTAAGAGATATGTGGCACAGCTGTAAAGTTTGCCAAGTTAGAACAACTTAGATTTGTTTAAGCAGTGCTATTCATCCAGAAAGACCGGCTTCATGGAGACGAACGGAATGAGGCTTATTAATGGGGGTCCAATAAGGCCAATAAAAGACAATGAAGGGGTGTGATGCACAAGCCAGTGTAGTAGCAAGACTCATTTAATTTTCAACCTTGAGTGAAGACTTTCACCTCCTAGATCTCTGTGTGAGGGTCAGGGTGTGGCAGGAGACCTGTACAATACTGTACTCAGTCTGATTACTACCAGTTGTCAACATCAAGGGCTAAACCGGAACCCAGACAGCTAGATGGGTGTTACTGTACTGTAGTATATGTGAGTGTTCTTAGATCCACTTGAGCGCATGAAAGTATGTTATTTAAAGATTATGGTCTCTGAAATATATCACGAGGATAGTTTTTAAGGATACTGTACACAGGGAGTATGGCTATAATATATACACAGTACAGTCCTGGTTTGACCCCTTATGATATATATGATGAGTCATTATATATAAGAACAAATCATTGGGCGTTTAAAACAGAGTAAAACATTATGTGTCAGATTGTGGTACTTCACAGAGACTGAAGATAAGATACAGGTGATTGTGAGATTATCACTCACCCAGATTTTTAACATTGTGAGATATGATAAACCAGCCTGAAGTAGAGATTACATGTAACACCTATGTTTATACCTTGTGGGAGAGTCTCTGTAATATTGGTACAGTATCTATGTAGGTTACAAACACATCCGATTTTGTATAGTAATTTTTTGTGCATAAATACAAGCAAGTACAGTTACGTACTGTATTGTACTGTATTTGCTGGACGAAAATATTTCATTAATAAAAAATAAAAAAGATAATACTGTACTACTAGCTTTTTTATTTCTGTTACTACTGTACATGTACAGTATTGTGATTACCAGTAGTTAGGACAATCCCTAAGACTGGGAAGGAACTCTTTTTGAAAGTTGAGAACTTAGTTTAGGTGAGGAAGTGTGTGAGAGTAAGTCTGCTGGCTCACTGTGTGGGCATCAGCTGTTATAACCATGGTCTTCAGCACAAGTGAGTGATAATTCTGAGGTTCTCAGTGGGTGCTGTGACACGTCTTGGTTACTAAGCTCGGCTAGGGTCACTAATACTGTATTGTCCATTTGTATCTGTCTTCTCACTCACATATAAATATCTGATATTCAAACACTAAATATATTTGCTTATATCTGTTTCTTAATCAATTATACAGCACGGATACAAAAAATTTAGTAAACATAGCAACTGTATATTACTGTACTGTACATGTTTTGAATTTCTAATCTGAATTAGGTCATTATAAATAATAATTACCTCAGCAAGACTATATACAGTACAGTACACTACAGTAGCTATACACCTCTGCAATAAACATTTAGAAAGATTATCTGGGTTTTGTAGTCTAGTGAGAGATTTGAATTTTTTTAACAGCATTCCAGTTGTTACTGTAGCATTGCCTGTCATGTTTACAAGATGTTTTCTGGATATTTGTCCATAATATTAGTTAGTACTGTACTGTACGGTATAATAAATGAAAATGATTCTCATGAAGGCTACAAACAACCTCTCAAATTTAATGTCACTATAACCCCTGCTTCAATTTAACAACTGCAATTGAAAAACAAAACATTACATTTATACAAACACTGCACATTCATAGTACCTGTACAGTACTGTAGTATTCAGAAATGGACACCAACATAACCTGGTCTGCACTAAGCCATCAAATATCTTGATTTGTCACTATACAGAAATTTATCCAAAACTCACCAATGTAGACATTTATCATGCGTGTAAAATTATGAAGCACCAATTTAAAAAAATTGCAGTTACAAATTGCAAAAATCATGAAACAAATTCCAATTTATGAATCAATATTTAAGTTACAAATTTTACTGTGATGCAATGTACAGTTGTACATGAGAGAAAAACTAACAGTATTTGTTATGTAACCTCCAGCATTTCACTAAACACAAAATAGTCAACACTATACAAAGGTAATTAAACTAAAATTGATAATTGTTAATTATTATAACATGGTTCATTTACGACTGAAAGTTTATAACTGTTGTACAATTTTAGGAACCAGCAATAATGAACCTAATTCAGGTTTAAAACTTCTTCCATTTACAATTAAGAAAAGAGAAAAACCCAAATAAACACAGTACAATACTGTATACTGTACTGCACTGCTAATAAGGCTTAGTTTGTGTAAGACATGAAAAAGACAACTTAAATAAGTCACAGTAAAGGAGAGAGTCTAAAGCTGCAGTCACACTACAGTATAGTTTTACTATATGCAATAAATCCACGATACCATTTCTTCCAAAGGCAATAAGTCAACGGTACAATTGGCACACTGGCGAAAGGAACCATCGGCCAAGTGCCCAGCTGGTAGCAAGGTCTTTTCATCACTTTCCTCTTGAAATCGAGGCTTTTATAATTTCAAATTGCAGGGTACTCCATCACTTTTTCAATGAGAGCAATTTGAGACTCACTGCCCCAAGGAATATTAGCAATATCCATCACGGAAATTTTGTGTGCGTTTGTAGAGCCCAAGCGATGTTTGTTTACAAAGGTGACTTAAGTACTCTAGATTCAAATGAAATTCCAGTCGTGATATATTCTTATTATTTTTCATTTACTATAGCATTTTTGCCTGTGTTTTATTATAGAAATACACTTTTATATTTTGTGCACATTTTAACACCAATAATAAAAAATAAAAAGTGTAAATTTAATTTATACTGTACAATAGATTCTCTATTGCAAATTTTAACCCACTGTAACAAGAATTTTCAGACACTCTGTACCGTTCCACTTTCAACAACAAATAGATTGTTGCTGTAGAGACAATTTGAGGAGTTCATTGAAAATCCACGCTACGGTGGATTTATTCTGGGTAGAAACACTAGTTTGACCAAAGCTTAAGGTACATCTACAGCACATGATGATACAGTACATAAAAAGTTAATCACACAGAGGAACTTTTACACAAGTCTGTGCTGTATAAATGTTATTTCTTCTAGGTGCCTTTAAATGTCCGTTATTTACACCTCAGACAAACTTAATGACAACCCGTGAGTAAAGAACAGTACTGTGTACACTCCCACACAAGGACCAACATGGGGAACTGTAATACTTTATTTTTATTTCTTCCATCCTGTTTATGTTATCTTACCTGTACACTCTCCTCTCTTGAATACTTATTTCTGGGGTTACTGGTCACACTCTCATTTCACCCTATACTGTACTCTCCTATCTTCAGTATATATTTTTACTTTGTTTTTTATATTACTTTCTTTCAATACCTAAAGATTCATTATGATCAGTCCCGACACTCTTTGTTTTTACAGTGTCTAAGAATGAGAGTGAGAACTGTAATTGCTTTCCTCATCTCACTCAGAGTTCAAAGTTATCACTGCAGTAAAAGTTGTTTGATCACATGTAAGAGGCTCCTTTGTGGTGCTCTCTGTACTTTAAAGCTTTTCTATTGAATTCCCATGGATAATAAAATTAAATCATGTGCTTTTATGTCCAATTTCATTGTGGCATAGTTCTCATTTCCTGTCCAGATAAAACAATATTCCTGTACTAACAGTTACAGGAAACACTGGAAGAGGATGAACGTTTAGGAGAAATAATGCACAAACACATAAATAAACATGGCGCAGTCTCTTGTGAGGTCAGTATTGTGTGCCGTGTTCCCTCTCATTGTTGTATCCAGGGCAGAACATCACAGCAGATAAGAAAACACATGATTATATTGGGCCAATTACATTTATGAATAATAAAAACTCTTAGGTGGAAAACACAATATTTCTATATATGTAAATCATAACCTTTTGTGGAGAAATTATAAAAAAAAATGGGATTATACCACCGCGTACTGTACTGTGCCAACAAATCCAGAAAACAATAGTCAGTTAACCTCAATTTAATCTCTTTATCGTATTTGACAAAAGGTTATCTGATATTTATTTGGTACACACTCAAAGACAAGGATGGACAGTGCAGGTTATGACTCACATTCTATTGTATCCCACAACAATATGATTGTAATGATTCAAGTACTGTATGTAAATAAGTAAATTCTTGATACTGTATGTGCTTCTCAATATTAAACATGAAAATCAATGACCTGCCCCTAGTAGTACTGCACTGTAGCTATATAGTTTACACCTTTATTTCTTAATTGTTTCCTTTTTATGATACAGTATTTTCTAAAAAAATTAATTTTGTGTGTGGAAAACAAGTACCTAGTGGGCTGTAGTGTAATTACCCACTATAACCTAAGAAAATGAACATTACATAATTATATCTCAAACATTTGAATCCAGCTCTACACTTAAACGATACCCTCCAACAATTCCTTGAATTTCCAAGCAATTTTTCCTATTATGAGATGTCAGGAAAGTAACCTGCAAGCTGTGATACCTGTGATACTCCTAAAGGTATGAGACCCTACAAAGCCATCACTTAAGATGTTAAGGTGGAGGTGATAAGGTGCATTGAGGATAGTAAACAGATGGTGGCTACCAGTAAAGTTTTATGATTATGGTACATCATATGACTGGCTGCTATTAAACAAATTAATTTGGTTTTCTTCAAATTGTTGCCTATGTATACTGTGTGTTCTATTTTTTATGCATGAAAATACTGTATACAGTACTTGTGTTGCCAAGTGTCATTTTATTATTGTATATACAGTAGCGATGTGTTAAAAGTGTTTTCCCTTGAAGAACCTTACTCCAAATTTATTATGGGAATCAATGGATAAATACTGTATGATTTATTTTTTTATTATCTAGTTCATGTAAACCTATCATAAAGTAAAGTACTGTACTGTATTGTATACTTGTACTTTAAACTATCAGTAATTCAATTTAATTGTAGGAAGTTTGGTTCAGCAGCTATAAATTTCTAATGTATTGTACTGGGGGAGATGGGGAGTACAAGTATTTCCTGGGATACAATATATACAGTAAAACCAACTTAGGTAATTCTAAGTTAAGGTTAAGTCAATTTACAGGTTCTTTTTTTAACATTTACAATATGTTATTGCATCCTTGTTCTATTAAATATGAAAAAGATACAGTGTAATTGCCTAAAATAAACATACTGTACTGCATAATATAAATCTTGTTTCCAATAAAGTAGGTATTTGTGCAAAAATGTCTTGAGATATCATTACAGTTATAAGTAAGCATTTGGGCATTTTTTTCTAATTACTGTAGCTATACAATATAATGGAAGTCAATAAAAAATTCTCAATCAATTAACGAATTATCGATTTGTGAATGGTTTTTCAGGAAAAATCTTTTGTAAATCATGGGATACCTGCACTATACTGTATAGCCAAAAATTATATATTGTAATTAGCCATACAAGCCCAATTCATTATGATTACATTAGATATGGTAATATCTTCCCATCTCTAATGTTACACAATCAAATGAGTCTATGACATTCTAGGCACCTAAACTCCTGATATTTGTTATAGCTACTGTGATGTACAGAATCAATTTTACTGTAAAGAAGTGGAAGAATATTAAGATGATTACAGGTAAATACTATATACTGTATAGTACTTTAAAAACAACAACTGCACAGACTTACCAGTAATACTGATTTCTTTTTCCAGGATTTTCACTAAAAACTGAGCACAGAATCCAAATCCAGTTGGGAACAGATAAAAAAAACGACTTTAAATTTACTATGCAAGCAAGCAAGCCCTTACATCCTCTATGCCTTTGGAATTTGGATGAGCAAACAAAAACCAAATTTAATCTGATTTAAGTAAAAAAAAGTTTGAGTACAGTATATAGTATAGTATAGTATAGGATGTCACTAAACTACATTAGAGTATGGGTGGAATGACCCAGTGAGTGATATACTGTACATTACAGACTTACAGTACACTCATATTTGATAATACGGTACAGTACTGTGCAGCATTTAGTGGTTCATTCCAGCTAAACCTGATGTATCTGTAATATATTTTTTTTAAAGTTGTATAAGCAGTGGCCTTAAAAAGAAAATATTATTACCAATTTTCATCCTTTACATAAACATGAATACCTCTAGTGAATGTTATATCATATGATTTACCAGAGATAAAATAAACCAACAATACGGCACCAACCTAAACTAAGATGGAAGTACTGTACTGTATATTATCCTAGGTAAGGTTATGTTCAGTTTGGTTTGGTTAGTTTTAGTAAGTACTGTAGGTAGATTAGGTTAGATAGGTTATTTCAGTTCATGAGGAAAGATTATAGATAAGTGTTCCATCACTTAGCATTTGTCAACAGTTGAAGCAAAAATATGGCATCACTGGTTGGGTGGACACATACAATCTCTATAGCTTATGTAAACAATAAGGGAAAAAAATTTAAAAGTGCAATTCCTCCACTTTTCATTTGGCAGCTGGTTAACCCAGACCACTCCCCTTAATGCTATATACAGTTCTGTACGTTTAAACCAAAATTACTCTTATTTACAAGAAATAGAAATACAATACTGCACAGTTTAAAAAATAGCTAAATATCTGGTGGGTTTGTATTGAAAGTACTGTAGTAATCTATGAAAAATACTGTACGGTATTAATAGTTTTTTGGTATTATTTAAGTTTCAGTCGTCTGGGAATCTCATGAATTAGGTTAGGTTAGATTAGGTTAGATATCCAAACTATGTTTTTCCAATGTTTTTTGTGTGTGTTTTGAATGAATAGGATCTTCATATCTGCTGGAAACCACATAGTTTGGATATCTAAATACAGGGATGTCCGAAACTAATATTTTACCAGTTTCTAATAAATGTATACGAGGAAATATCAGCGTGTATACGTGAGGGCAGAATTTTACAACCTACTGCCCACTGCCCAGACATTCACTCAATAATCATGTGGGATGACAAGCTGCTGGATTACATGAGTTTGTCCTGTATTTCAACTTCTAAAATACTCATAAACAATACAGTATCTTCTCTTGTAAGTTTCTTGTTAATAAGTTCCCTGTGGACTAAGACAGCACAGCTCTCTGAAATCTCATGACTTTTGTTTTATACAGCTTAAATAAATATATGTACCAGCATGTACAGTACTGGTACATATACTTGTGTTCTCCTTGACTTAAATAAGGTAAAGCTAAATATTATTTTAAAAATTCACAAATGAATTCGGCTCTTACCACTGCATTGAACACAAAATACATATAATATGCCACTGGTACTATTTTTCTATTGATCAATATATTTCTTGCAAATTAGCAATTGGATACTCAAGACTACAAATAAATGAATTCACTAAAGACATCCTCCCACCTAATTACCCAAATGAACCCAAATGAACCCAAATGTACCCAAATGTAGCCACAATGAAGTCAAATGATGGTCATACAAGCGTAAATCGAGCTGTGAATCACTTCTCGATTAGTATTTGGTGTCATAGTTACAAAAAATTGGTAAACTTAATTTAATCTGAGTTAGGTTAAGTTAGGTACATGCACTCGATCTATTAACTAGATTAAATTAAGTTTTCCAATTTTTTGTGACTTTGTGACACCAAATACTCGTCGAGAAGTGATTGGCAGTCCGATTTATTCATGTAGGACCATTATTTGACTTCATTGCGGCTACATTTGGGTACATTTGGGTAATTAGTCGGACCCAAGACATCTGCCATACTCTCATCTCCCTTACATGGCATTCAAAAATGGAAAAACCTTAGATTGTGAATTAAAATAAGCTAATAAAGGTGTGGCACATAACAACGGCTACCAAAGGACATAAACTTCACATTTCCCACGTCAATTATCAGGTATATCAAATACGTTTACAAAAATAACAGGAGAGTAGTAGCAGAAGCCCTCGGTAACGAGACATGTTGGGGGAAGCAGGGAGGACCACTCACCATGTCTCTTCATCAGACAGGCTGTTATCTTCTAGACCTATGGGGTCCATGTTCTCCAGGTTACTGTCGTGGTGTCGTTTGGGCGTGCCTGGGGCCGAGGGGTCGTCCTTGCCGCCGCCCACGGGAGAGTCGCCCCCACCACCACCTTCCTTCTTCAACTGCTGCCGCTCTGACCGCAATTCCTCATTCTGCAACTCTAACTGTTTGACTAGCGCTTGTAACTTTTTTACCTCGGCCTCTGTGTCCATCATCTCAAGCCTATTGTCCATAATCAGGCTCATCTTGGTGCCTCACATCTAACTAGAGTAAACACAAATTAAGATTCACATCTGTAGTTTCACTTGGCATTGTAACCCCGAAACTGATTTCACTGTCAGGAAGAAAAACAGACCAGCCTGCCATCTGCTGGCTGCCTCCATCACTACCGCGCTCCGTCTCTTTCCTAGCACGGGGTACTAGTGAGAAACATACGTACTATAAATAATTAAATTCAAATTACTTATTCATCGCTTGAACCAACTCTAGAAAGTTCTCAAATGAACAGGTTTTTAGGTTTAAAGTACTTTCCAAAACCTAAAACACAAATAGTTAAAATGCAAGACACTCATCAATGCACGTCCAGTTTCACACTTTTTTTCCAGTTGATAATTTTTTCGCAGCTTCTAATCTTAATATGGTTACATCACAAGCAAGAGAAAGTTCCCTCAGATGTCTACAATACGCCCGAATAAAACTCAAATTTGAAGGTGGCAGTAAATTTGAGATTCAAAAGCCTTTTCATCAAATAATTACGCACAGAATGTTAGATCAGCTTGACTAAACAGTTCACTAATTTAATGCGACTGTTTTTCTGTTTCCATTTTGATTATCAGGCTAATTTCAATGTAAAATATCTTAAACTTATATATTGTAACAAAAAATCTAAGTTTGATAAGGAAACATTAACGGAAATTTATCAATACTGGGTATCTGCATTGTTTATATAGGTCCTACATGCTAAACTGTATACCAGCATTGTCTATGTACATGCTGAACTATACTACTGCGTCATTTATATACATGCTGAACAGTCATGCATTATCTATACGCCTGTAGCGGATTCCTCCCCTACAAACGCTGTTTGTCGCTGGCTAGCCGACCCCGCGAATTCCCCAATGTATGCCTCGTGGTCTAGGTCAACCAGCGCCGCCTTACATGACGGAGGTCAACTATTAAGCCACGCCTACCTCCGCTATATAAGACCTGACCTCGTGGTGACCTACCTCTCTTTTTCTACCTACAGCCAGTCTTCAAGTAACACCACCTCCTCCTCTCCTGCCTGGCGGCCCTCGCTCCCGCCGGCGAGCATGGCGACCCACAAGCTGGTCCTCCTCTGAGCATCCTCACCAACCAGCTCTCTCTACATCACGCTTGTAACCACGCTGCCACTTCCCAGCACCAAGCTGCACTGTACATCCAATACAATATGTATACAGAGAGCACATTGTGAGTTTCCTTTCTCCATCCCATCCTGAGTGTGAACCAACATCTCGTACCCCACAGGCCTATACATGCATGAATCGATGTAAACATGTTTGAAGATTTTGCTGAATAAATATTTATCTATCTATCAGCTTGAAGCGTGGTTCCTAAAAGGCTATACAGCCACAGGAAATTGCCAGAACCAACTATTTTGGAGCTCTAAATAAGTGTTCAACTAATGGAGCAAGTGAGACGTGTTGTAAGTTCAAACTAAACTAATGCTTCTTCTGTACATATTTCGATTCATGAAGATTGTGTGATGACTAGCACCAGACAGCACGGCACAACAAAACTGACTGATAGTTTAAACACTAAGCTGATAATTGATAAGTGGCGCTGAAGAATAAGTTATTTCTCCAAGGGAAATTTACATAGGGTGAATTATAAACTACCAGATGAACGTTTTATTAGGATATTATCGACCACTTCTATATAAGGTGGCAGGAAAATCAGCTCTTCTTAAAAGGTCGAATGACGTCATATAAGCAACATCGTCATACTATTGTTCACTGCCACTGGTAATGTTTTCTTTGTCATTTGCCTCTATATCCGACGTTAATGTTTTTTACTTAATTACCTCGCAGGAAAAGATCCGGGGTTTCAGGCTGTGGGTCAATTAACTGTATAAACCATAGACAATGTAGATGGGGTCTAAGTTAGGTTATATATCCCCATAAGCCAAAGGATTTCAAGAATTCGAGGTAAAAAATCAGCCAATACAACAGCGCTTTTGATGGGGAAAATTAAACTCTGGTAAGATATTAGGAGTAAAGTGTCTTGGTGCCGCCCTCCCCCCATCTACCCCTGGGTATCCGCCGCCGCTGACAACTGAGTTGCAGGCTAGCGGCTCAGAAGAAAAACGCAACGTCCGTATCTGGTAATTTTTGATGCTGCTGATGACTAATATAATAAGTTGGAATAACGTGCTTAAAGACCCTAGTTGTTGAGACGCATGAACACATCAAGTTCAACACGTTCATACAATAAAAACAAAAACAAATCACATTCATAATAGTGAAAGTTAACACCGTTAATTATCGAGATACTGCACTATGAAAGGGACCGGGTACATGAGTTAATGCAGGTACAGTAATTGATACTTGAAATATCGTATCACGGGGTGTTGTCAAGTGCATTTTGGTGCATTGTATTATACAAGACACAACCTACACAACCATGTCAGTATCGTCTCCCTAACAAAAAACGGAGAATTGGTGAAGCAGCCCAACCTTGGGTTTATAACGGTTGGCAAGTTTATACAACGCCAAACCTTTCTGACTAACTTAATTTTAAGATGAGATGATAATACTCTATTATAGAATCTGTTTCAGGGTGATATTTTGACAGAGAGGCTTTATTCACAACATGAATTTACACACACACATTATATATATATATATATATATATATATATATATATATATATATATATATATATATATATATATATATATATATATATATATATATATATATATATATATATATATATATATATATATATATATATATATATATATATATATATATATATATATATATATATATATGGCCTGTGGGCTGTGGGTTGAACTTGAGGTATATATATATATATATATATATATATATATATATATATATATATATATATATATATATATTTGAATAGGTTGGATTGCGTTATGCTTACACAACATACGGCTACGTTGCTGAAAATATAATATGATAGGCTAGATTAGATTTGGTTAAGTTGTTGGTTATTAATTGGTTAAGTTAGGTTAGGTTTCATTACGATAGGATGAAACTGTAAAAAAAGAAGTTAAGTTAACTTGCAACTTGATGAATTAAGATCTAGATAACTTACTTCTGTCAGATAATTGTTATAGGCCACTATAATGTTTATCTATCAGACCAAAGCATTCAGGCCAGTAGTATAACATAGACTTAGCAGTAACAGGGGAGCACGGAAATTGACACACCCTACAGTGACTAAGGTGAGATAAAGACCTGATCCAAAGGAGGTCAAGGTCACATTGGAAACCAGAATTCTCACCCCCACGCGATTAACTTAACCCGGCGTCATGACCATGTTAATTCAAGGAACTCAGTGGCGCACCCAGGGGGGTTTCCTGGTTGCCCGGAAACCCCCCCTCCAGGTACTGAATGGTGCGGCCAACCCATACCTGACCTGGCAACACCTTAGTAACACGAAGGTTGGGTCAGCTTACCTGACCTCAACCCACGCCACGGTAACTTCCACCACCTCTGCCATTCCCATGCACCTGAATGCACTTAATATACAGCACTGCCAGACAGTGTGAAATATTGAGATTTAATGTTTTTTTCTTTTCATTTTCTCATCTACATTGTACATTTTCTATAGATTTTACATATTTATAAATTATTCTTCCATCCACTTTCACATATTTGATGATTTCGCAAGTGTGCTTCAAATAACTGTATCGTACGATAATAAGTCTATATACAAAGATTAGGATGCTAAATTACACCATCTTCAACCTCAGATTATTTCCTAAGATTCAGTGCAAATGGCGTCAAATATTGGTCAGATTTCACAAATTTTTCTTGGGGGCTTACAGCGGACCCCGGACCCCCAAGCTGAAACGGCTCGCTGCGCTCGCCAGACTTCTCAGTAATTTGGAAACCCCCCTACTCAATTTCTGGGTGCGCCCCTGGAACTGCTATCCAGCCAGCACTTGTTACCTGACCAATATAAGGGCCCTGCAGCTCCTTTCACGAGGTTTATTCTTCTAACCGTGAAGAGCCAGCAACACACGTCCCCTGTCCCGCTCGTCGTCTCATGAAGTCCATCAACGAGGTCTCAGCCCGGTCCATCGACGGTGTTCTATCCAATCAACGTGTAAAAGCAAGTGCTGGCTGTGTCGACCGGGGTAGTGCGGTGATCCTGAACCTCCCCAACGATCGACTTAGTGGAAGTGCCCATTTTACTTGTTAGGTTATAGGAAAATATCATATCATCTATTATATTTTGTATACGAACCCCTATTAATCCCCCCAATGAACTAGTAAAATAAAGCTGTAACACGCATTTGTGTTTTATTCTACACTTGTACTGCCTGTGTTAATATATATTATCTTCACACCCTCGAGTCACGCTCCCTACTTCACTCACTCTACGACTCTACTACTATACTGTAAACTCCGACCTTACCTCTTCATATGAGATTTAACCTCATTATACCACCACAGTAGAACCATTCATGCCAAGTTCATCTTCACACAATTTATTGGTTGTGTAATCTTTGCACCAACAATAAATAAGCATAATTATTGTTTTTTGAGATTTTTTATCTTTCTAACCATGTTCTGTTACAAATGGATACCGATTCCATACAGGAAGTTTCTTGGCATTGCCATACTGATCGGTCAAGTAAAACTGTAAAGTTCATTTTATTTTTCTTGCGGCACATCCTGTTTTATGGAATAATCTTAGATGTTTGAAAAAAGTGTACCACCTCTTCTTGGGCCAGTAGGTTTTTGCAAAGCTAGGATTTAACCTAGGGATGGCCAATGGTAGATGTCTGTCAGCGATGGTGACTTGCTCAGAACATTACCACCGCAATTTCAGTTGTGAAATAAATATTGTAGGCAGCTCTTATCAGCTCCAAACTGGTCAATCACGTCTTCAGTGAAGGCTTTCTATCTAACACCTGGCGATGCACTCTGAGCATTAAGCATGCACCCCTCTCCCCCTGCGGACGCCCATGCTTATATTTTCTCTATTATGTCAACCTGCTGGGCTTATGAGTATACCCAGAGGAACAGGAGAGATTCTATAACATTCCAGCGGTAAGTGTTGAAGTTGTAATTAAGTTATATCAAGCAGATTAGTATAGAGACTTCGTGTTTTTAAAAGTTTCCCCAAAACTATCGTGTAATATGCCTCCCCCCCACCTGCTGGTGGTGATGGTTAAACTGCATTATGTATTATGAAGTACTCACAGTAGTATTGCATTTTTTGTTTTACAAAATAGGGCTGCGAGTAAATAAAATGTACCCTATGAAATTCTTTGTTTTGTGCCGACCAACATGGCCGCTAGCCTCGCCCACTGGCTACACGAGTCCTGCACATAAGATGACTTCATGTCGCCTCAATGTATTAAAGCTCCTTGGTCCTCACTTGTTGTCTATACAGTATATATATATATATATATATATATATATATATATATATATATATATATATATATATATATATATATATATATATATATATATATATATATATATATATATATATATATATATATATATATATATATATAATATATATATTCCGATCTAGAACCTTATTTACCAAATGGCCACCCACTAAAGGTGGCCATGACGAGGGAAGGAGGCAAGTGACCTGTGTAGGATCCTTCCATTGTTCTTGACAATTTTTGTCAAGGGATATTTTGAATCCCCAGTCCTGTTCGTGATTCCACAGCTTGGGTCGGTAGACCGTTCCACAGCTCTACCAACCTCTCTGTGAAGAAGTGTTTCCTTGATGAGCTTGTAGTTATGTCCTCTCGTATTGGTGGTGCGTGACACCACAAAGAAATGGCCCGGGTTCACGTTTTCCATCCTTTTCGGGACTTTGAATGCTTCATTGAGATCTGTCCCATTGTATACCTCTGTCGAGATGACAGTGTTCCAGAATCATCTTAGTCGCTCTGTGTTGCACCTTTTCTAGGGATGTTAGGTCTTTCTGGGGTAGGGTTTCCATGCCTGTATACAGTAACCCAGACTGCAACGTACTGTACGTGAGATTTGTACAGTTGAAGGAGCATTTTCATATCTTTGTACTTAAAGGTTCTGTACGCTATATAATTCCCAAATCCCCGTTTGCTTTTCTCACTTCCCACCACCTGTTGCGCTGCCTTTAGTGAATGATCTATCACAACGCCAAGACTCTCTCCCTACCAGTAGATTAATATGTGTGTGTGTGGTGTGTGTGTGCAATCCCCAGAGGTATCTCACAGAAACGTCAACTTTCACTAGTGTTGGTGGAGGAGGGACGGGTGTTAGTAACCAAGACTTTCTAATAGTTCCTGTTTTGGTGTGTGGGGTGATGTCACCCGTGCAGGTGGTGCCTGTTCTCTGTCGTGACTCACAGAGGTGTACAGGGGAAACTTACCTGTGTTCATCACTCTCATAAGGTCGACAGTGCCGCGCCATCGCTCGGTAAGAGGTATTCCCCCTTGATAGCTGAGTTACGAGGAAATGCCTTTCCGATACATGTGCATTTTTTTCGTTTACATTTATCGTAGCGATAATTTCTTATGTATTTATATATTTGATTCTGTTCATTGTTGTATCGTTTTCTTACAGATGTTTCTGATGTTAGCCGTCTCCTCCACCATTATCCTGTATAGTCATTAGAATGGGACTGATGAACGTTGATTACAACTAATGGTTCTACACCACTGGTCTTCCCTTGGCATGGCCACCTCTAGTTTGGGTTACCAATAGGTAAATAAGGTAAGAAATTGTTTGCTGTTTAAAACAGACATTTCCTAAACACTTGTTCTGCAAATCACCTAAGGAGTTAGTCCGTGACAACTGTTGATAAACTTAGTGAGTGTTATCACTGAACCAAAGTAATGCTTGAGTAAATGGTACCCGGAGTATTGTCAACCCGTCCTGTCCCCGAGATATTCAAGAGACTGTCAGTTGATTGAGAACGTCCGAGAGGGGCCACCAGACTGGTGTTTGCAGGCTGCACTATGGCACTTCAGTTGACCAGAGAGATTAGAGTGCCTGCAGTTGCCTAGCTTATAGCAGAGCCATAGATAGGGAGAATTTGGCCAACCTAAACACAAGCTCAACGAAGCTTAATTATTCTATCAAGTACTGTATACCTGAAACAGCCAGGGGTACAATGGCACGAAGATGAGACAATAGTACAGATTTAACAGCCTGTTACAGCAACAACAACTTACTCCAGGGCGAGTCTTGACACTCAGCAGTGCAGCACCTCTAATAAAATAATTTTAATAGTGATTTATTTATTATCAAAAACTTATTTACAAATTAATAGATTTCTTAAATATATAATTTCCTTACAATTCCAAACTTACCTAAAAGGAAGGCATTACAGGTTGACAATCCCTTATCCGAAATCCTTGGGACCAGAGGCATTTCGGATTTCGGAATTTTTCGGTTTTCAGAATGGTTAGGTTTTTTTTTTTAGCCCATCCGGGCACAATCACTGACCCACATTGGGGCCTGGGGGGCGAAAATATAATAATAATTATAATAATAATAATAATAATAATACAGGTAATAATAATGATTCATAGGTCTAGGTCGTGTTTCTCACTTTTATCTTTTTTTCATTCTTGTATTTCTTTGTTATTATTATTATTATTATTATTATTATTATTATTATTATTATTATCATTATTATTATTTATTAATACAGCATTATTGTTATCATTATTATTTTATTTTGGTGTATTTTTTAATTAAAATTTTTATTTACTATGAATAATTATTATTATTATAGTTATTATTATTATAATAATTAGTATTACTATTAAATTTTCGCCCCCCAGGCCCGATGTGGGTCTGATCTATGCCTGGGTGGGCTAATCCCTGTTTAAAAAAAAAAAAATGCTCCACAAAAAACTTTCGGTTTTCGGAATTTCGGATAAAGGGTTGTCAAGCTGTATTTATTGTGTTGATAACTTTAGTACAGTATCAGGTACTTGTTTACGGCGGGGTTGTCATGGGAACCAACAAGATTTATCATTAATTTTTTTTTTAATTTATCATTTCACCACTTATCGCCTTACTAGCTACTTGGGCGGTTGGTCTGTTCTTTGTTAGTTTGTTATAAAATATATTGTCCAGTGTTAATACAGGAGGAAACTGGAGTAGCTTGGGGAAACCTGTGATGTTTAATATGCCGCCCTGACCAGCCAAGTAATAATACAATTAATAATAATAATGATGATAAAAATAATAATAATAATAATAATAATAATAATAATACTTGACCCTCAGGCAAGTAAGGCCCATATGCAAGATCAGCCGTGGTGTATACCATGCTGTAGTACTCCCATGGTTGTTATGCAAGAAGCGTTTTTGGCTAAAAAAAAAAGAAAAATATGTACGATTCGTTATTGGAACATGGGGAAATTTCGTGGTACACGTACCCCCTGTCCGATGATCACTACAAGGGAACTATTTTTGAAACCAAAAGAAAGAAAATTGATTTGGATGGACATAAAATGTATAAATCTGCAAAGGAATAATATTTGTGTACGATATACTCCATATAGAACAGCACATGCAGAATTGTATTGTTCTTTTTAAAAGCGGTCCATGTTTGTGTACGAAAAATGCCGCCAGCCTCTACTTGTCTCATCGCCGTTTATATCCTCCAAATTCGCCTAACCATCATAAAAGGTAAGCCTTTAAGATAACTAATACAACTAATTTATGTGTAGAAATGTATTGAAATCAAATTAAACTAAAAAAAAGTCGTAAATGATCTATTTGGAGAGTGGTGAGAACAGCTTCCTCTGGGATGGTCATGGAGGTCCTTTATCAGTATTAATATCGACCCCATTTTCGTAATGAGGGCAATTAATAACAGTCCAGCACTACCAAAATAATTATTTCCTTAGTATAAATACTTTGTAGCATAAATTTCACACTTAAATAATTCCAAATATGCCGGGTAACCAATGCCAGGTGAATCCAAACTGGTCCATCCGTGATGGTCATGGAGGTCCTTTATCAGAATTAATATCGACCCAATTTTCGTAATGAGCGCAATTAATAACCGTCCAGCACTACCAAAATAATTATTTCCTTAGTATAATTACTTATTAGCCTAGATTTCATATTTTAATAAATCCAAATATGCCAGGTAACTAGTGCTAGGTACTTCCCAGGCATGTTTCATTTGTGTATCAGTTTAACCACAATTTGCTACTAATAAGATAAATTCAGTGACCTAAATTCATGTTTTATTTTTTTATTCCCTTAGTGACTCAATGTATTACAAGAAAGAACTACTTTATGACTTGTTTGGGCTAACAGTTGGAGTGGTGATATTAATTAACTTTGCCATTCACACTGGCAGAATCAAATGTAGATATATTGGCTTCGTATGTCCATGATTTAAAAAAAAATGAATAAGTCCTTCTAAAGTAAATGGAATTGATGACATTATTATCTTTTGGCCATCCATCGAATTTAATGATTTAAAGTTGACCGATTTTTACCAGTTAAGTTAGGTTACGTTAGATTAGTTAAGTTGGGTTAGGTTAGGTTTGGTGACATTGAAATTATGTTTTTTCAAATGCCAAGTAGGTGGATGACCTAAACATTCATTTTACCAAATTGATTATGAGTAGATTAAAAACATTAGTTGTGTTTTTTTTACAAATTAAGACTCTGTAAAGTTCTAATGACAATCACTTCATGATAGATGTTTCACCCTATTCACTAAAGGTACTTTACGTAAGAGGAAAAAATTAGCACCAAATTGTATTGTTTAATACCAAAAGAAGTCATTGATGATAATATTTAATAACAATATTTCAGGTATTACGACCTGGTCGTCGGGACGGAACACCGTCGTAAGTCGAGGAGAGACCGTAATACATTTTCATCTTTAAACTCCTTGTATCTTACCTAACTCACCTTGATGCTCCACTCAATTATAGCTAGATGCAATAATTGTAGAACGTAATCACAGGTATGACTGCCTTTACCGTTAATTGTTTTTATATTACAATTCTTGGATATTCAAAGATAATGAAATTATGAATCTTCAATAAATGTGATATACGTACATTCTAATGATGACAACAGAAATATGTCAGACTTGACTAATTAACTGTAACCAGAAATTAACCTAACTGAATTTGTCCTTAATCCAACCTTTAAAATATGAAAGACAGTATACTTTATTTTATGATAGTTAAGTCAGTTTCCAGTTAGGTTAACATTTTTATATAGATCATTAAAATTTTAAAGGGCTTATAATTTTTGTTCTATGAATTTCTCCAAAAAAAGGGATCAAAGTTTTGGAATCACCATAACAATATACACTACAGTACATTAGAAAAAACAGTAATTTTTTTAGTGTGTGTTGCATATCAAGCCAAACAAATCTGAGTTTCCTTTTGAATTTTTTATTTTTATTTTTTTTTAACAGACAAAATTACCCTCAATATTAAGATGTTGGAAACTTATAAATATTAACCCTCATAAATATAGATGTTTCAGAATTCGCAAATTTAACTAACACAATATTTATGACTTTATTTTCACTTACAGGTAGAGATACAGCTGACTATTCACCTTTCACCAATACTGAAGAAATAAATCTTGGTATCATTTGATTGATGGGGAATTTTTCCGGTTCCAGGGAAGATTTTGGAATTTGCTTTCTAACCTAACCTCGGAACTGGTTCTCAGACTCGGAACAGAAAAATTTGGAGACTTTCTGTAAAATCCCCAAATTACTCATAGACCAGAAAAAATGCAGTTTCTGGAATTTTCTGAACATATACCTTGGAGAAATCATAACATACTGTATGCCTTAATTATTATTATTTTTTTTTACACTGCATACATACGTGGATATTACGTATTAATTTATTTGTGAAATTTGTGGATGATTTTTCTTTTAAAATACTTTACTCTTGATCACCCATATATTATAACATATCCTGCTTTTAATAAAGGCTATATTCTGAAATAAGCATTATAATTGTATTCTTATCCTTATTATTATTACAGTTTATATTAAACATTAAAAAGTGCAGGAATGATTTGCAATTAACATTGCAGATTGTATTGAGTATATTTTTAAACCATTTAATTATCATCTTGTTCGATGTTTAACATTATTAGTCTCTGATTAGTTAGTAGAATTTCATGACTATACCTACTGTATATGGGTTCCATGACATTTGCTCACAAGATGAACCTAATCTAACCTAAAATGTCTTCATTTCCATAATAGTTGAGTATATGCCTTGTAAACAAATGTCTGCACACTAACTATATGAAGGCTCTCTGGTGAGGATCCATATACAGTATTTACATGTAATATTTTTCCAAATAAAAGACCATTTAAACAGCAGAGACTTTTCTCCGACTTCTGGTTTAGTCCACGTCTTAACATATTGTATGCATTTTTACTCCTGACATTGGGAAAGTGTTCATGTCTTGTTTTTTTGAAAGGGTATTTATTGCATTACTATAATCAGGTGGAGAAAAGGAGGAGACATTATCTCAAGTTTTCATATCTTGTACATAACTGGCCTTGTATAATATGAAAGTAAAAATTTTGGTATAAAGATAATTTCCTGTTTGATAGAAAACTAACAGTTATGGTGATATTTTTTCAAGATTTTATCCCAATTCATCTGTACAGTGAGTTCATCACTGTCATAACAAAATTATAATACCTAATACTGTACTTCGGTATATTCTACTGACTTCATCCACAGAACAGGCCATAGTTCTCTATTACACTCACCCAACCCCAAGTTCATGAAAAACTTATAACTTTATTGCTAGATTTCATAAGGATAAAGAAGAAAGGAGCAGATATTACACTCAATTCCTACATTTTTATGGTTGTCACAGGCTTTATTTACCTATATTCACTGTAAAGAATCGTATTTTATTCCCAGAATTGGCTTATAATCCAAGAAAATAGGAAAATGAGGTGCACCTTAGCTTGGGATTCAAGTTTTTTATGCTCGTAAATCGTGTAGCAAGAGCAAACGTTTCGTGCCACTGACAACGTTTTCAGGGTGCAAGCATACCAACCCCCAAGTCTTCCGGCAGTTGGTACACCTGACTACACTGCGATGACGTAGTAACAACAAACGACAGTCGGGTACCACCATGGCCCATCTTGAATAATCACAATATTTTCACTCCATTGTATTACGACTGCCGGAATACCACGGCATGGTGTACACCACGGCTGATCTTGCAATTGACCCATTAGCCTAAGCTACATTTAGTCTACTGTCTCATAATGTTTATGTATTTCTTAGTATAATCAAATACACATCACAGTGAATAATTTAATAAATAAACAAGAAATATGACAATATTATTTAATACAGTATACCATATGTATAATAAATTAAATTATATTAGAAAAATATGTCAAATTCAAGCATCCCCGGCCATGTTCAGTCATAGTTGGGCACTGCTTGCCTCACTGCGTTGTGAGTTCAATCCCCTGGTTGGATGTAAGAAGGATTTTGTCCATTGTGGCCCTACTAAACATTGCAGATTTTCTCAGGGTACTCCAGTTTCCTTCTGTATTAATACTGGACAATGAAGGCTGTAACAAAGAACAGACTAATGGCCTGAATGGCTAGTAAGCAGCAAGTGGTGGAAATGATAAATTACAAAAAAAAAAAAAAAAAAGTAGCTGTCAACTGCAGTATTTTGTTAGGAGAGCAATAGAAAAGCAATTAACTTGTTTGTATGAGTTGACAACTCATTTCAACCTCCGGTTCATGTCTGCTCCAGCTTCAGCCTAAATAGACAAGCCACCACCCAACTTGTCTTTTATTTGAATACAGTGGTCCCTCGGTTAACGAGCGCCTTGGTTAACGAGATTTCGGTTAACGAGTTACCTTCCATAAGATTCTTAACTTCGGTTAACGAGCAATCCCTCGATTAACGAGTTTCTTTCGAGCTGACCTGAACATGTTTTCGCTTGCATTTGGCGGTCCACCAGCTGTAGTATTAGTCCGCCAATACAGTAATCGGTTCTAGGGCTTAAATTCCTTACCATTTTAGCAAATATCAAGAAATTTATACTATTCAATAATTTTAAAAGTTTAATATTAAATTTTTTAGTCATTTTAACAATTATTGAACATTATTGAAGGTAATGAAACTAGTTTTATGCACGCCATCCAGCCTCTCAACACACCACACAGGCGTCAGTCTTTGTGTCTTTTCAGTGGAGGTAACATCTTGCTTGAGACTCTCTTCAACTAAATGCTTTTTTTCTGTGTTTGCAAGCAAATTATTGGTCATTTTGAAATTTATTTTACATATTGACAATATATAATGCAGTGCAGTGTTGATTTAAAGAAAATAATCTTGAATTACACCAAGAGAACTAAAATTTTATGGGTGAAATGGCGCCATGGGGTAACTTCTCTTCCACCCCAATGCCTTCTCTTCTCCCTTCTCCTCCACCCCCATTCTCATTCCCATCATCATCGAGGAACCTTCTACATACACACCTCAAAGTAAGTGTACTTTTCTACCTTTTTTGTTGAATTTAGGCAATTTTCGGTGAGCTGGAATCAATTACCCCAAAACCCACTGAAACAATGGTTTCGGTTAACGAGTTTTTCGGTTAATGAGCAACCTTCTAGAACGGATTGTGCTCGTTAACCGAGGGACCACTGTATTGTTTTTTAATTGCTATTTTATGATTATTTTGTTTTATGGGATTATTATTGCTTGAATTTCATGAAATAATGGTAGAATTGGATCTGTGGTCAACTGGACAACTAACTGTACTTGGTTGAAAATGCTGTTAATGAGGAGGTTTCTGGATGGTGCTTTTTCTGTTGACAGAGCTGTTAATTGGGAGTTCCTGGTCGATGGAATGCCGTATATGAGAGGGTCAACCTGTAGTATAGTCTTAGTTTGTGAATCCTAACTTTCAATTTAAACCTGGTAGAAGTCAATTAATTCTGTTACTGTATGATGGTTTTCTTATTCGGTTTCAATTTGTAAATAGAAAAAAAAAGCCATATATTACAGTAAGTCCTCGTTTAACGTTGTTTCGGTACTATGTCCCGGTGATTCGGCACAACATCGTTTTGCGTCGTCACGGACTACTTTTTATGGCGCATCACCCTCTCCCATCTGGCCGCGCTACGCTCTCTCCCGTCTGGCCGTGCTACGCTCTCTTGGCTCGGTGCGCTACCCTCACTTCCGTAACGTCACAGTGTCCTCAAATGACACCAAGCCAGTCTTTGTTACGACTTCACATCATTCGTGTGTGCTTAAGTGCTTTTGTTCTAAAACTGTACTCTTAACCATTCAAAATGGCTTCCAAGTGCCCATCAAGTGCTACTGATGCTAGTGTAGTGAAGAGGCAATGCAAGACCATTACCCATGCTACGAAAATGGATGTATTAACCCGATTTGAAAAAGGGGAACGTGCTGTGGACATAGCCGCTGTGCTTGATCTAACCCCCACAAAGGTGCGTGCTATCCGGACCAACTCTGAAAAGGTTAAGGTTAGTGCTGGAAGTGGTACTACTCTCAGTGCAACTAAGACAACTCGTACTAGAAGCACTGTGATAGAAAAAGTGAAAAAGATGCTGGCTATATGGATGGAGGACCAGAATCAACGCAATGCCCCTGTGAGCCCTATGGGTGAAGGATTGAAGGAATAGACCTTTACGGCCAGCTGAGGGTGCTTTCAATGATTTAAGCGTCGTTATAACTTCCACAACATCAAGATGACCGGTGAAGCTGCTAGTTCAGATATGGTTGCTGCCGAGACATTCCCGCCTGAATTCAAGCAGATTATCCAGGAAGGAGGCTACTCATTGAAGCAAGTCTTCAATGTGAATGAGACTGGTCTCTTTTGGAAGAGGATGCTTGAGAGGACCTATATCTCCAGGGAGGAGAAAAGTGTGCCAGGTTTTAAGGTGGCAAAAGACCGCTTGACGCTACTGCTTGGTGCGAATGCTGCCAGTGACTTCAAGCTGAAGCCTATGCTGATTTCTCGCACTGCCAACCCACGGGCCCTGAAAGGTTACTGTAAGGATCACCTTCCTGTGATCTATAAGGCAAATAAAAAGGCATGGATAACCGGTACCATATTTAGCCAGTGGTTGAATGTGTACACCGTCCCTGCAATGAAGGAATGCTGTGCCAAGCAGAACCTTGACTTCAAAATTCTTCTGATCGTTAACAATGCCCCAGCTCATCCTCCCAATCTTGACGACTTGCATGACAATGTAAAAGTTGTATTCCTGTCTCCCAACAAGACAGCACTGATGCAGCCTATAGACCAAGGCGTATTATTTATGCCGTACCATGGCCCAGCTGCTCAAGGCTACAGACGGAGAAAATTAACCTACGATCCGAGAATATTGGCGTGGCTTCAATATTCTTCATGCAATTGACAACATTGGCAAGGCATGGGAAGAGGTTTCAGAAAGTTGCCTGAATGGTGTGTGGCATAAATTGTGGCCCGAGTGCGTCAACAGTTTTATGGGATTCACGGACTTAGTCCCAGCTGTGAATAGGGATATCCTCAGCTTAGCTAGACAGGCAGGCTTTGATGAGCTGGAAACAGAGGATATTGAGGAAGTCCTGGCATCCCATACAGAAGAAAATATACTATTTTCTATAGAAATAGCAATGATTTTCTGTATATGTAATGTATTTCATGGGGCAAAGGGAGGCTGGGGAACGTAACTCCCGTATTTTATCTATTTCTTATGGGGAAAATTTATCCGCTTAACGTTGTTTTGTATAACGTCGTGTTTTTAGAATCGTAACCCCGACGTCAAGCGAGGACTTACTGTAGTTATACTTACTGTACAATACATACATTTATCATGCTGCATTAAACTTTATTTAGTGAAAAATTCTATTAATTTTCTTTAATGCAGAGACAACAGTACAGTGGAATGCAAGTAGACAAAGTGGGAATACACCATGGTATTATTTCTGATCAAACTTTTCTTATCATTGACTGGTAGGTGATAAAAATGTGTTCACTTTGTTGAAAGATTACACACCCAACAGTTTACTTTTGGTATTTTATTGGTAATTAACTGTAGCCATGTCACGCAGCTCTTGTAATTCAAGCAGGATAAAAACAAAGGTAGTTGACAACCCTGACTTTACTCAGAATGCATTTCAGTAAATGAAGATTTGGAAGTTATGGGAACCACAATATACTGACCCCGATCACAGGTTTCTTATAGTGCTCTGTTTTTCTGGAATGCATCTAGAGTGCTATAAAGAGGCATGCATGTACTGTATAATCAAAAGCAGAAGTTTGTCCCAAACCAACCTACGTGATATGAGGCAGGCGATTTGGCAATACTCTATGGGGAAGTGTTGACAGATATGCATTAAATGGCTAGTTATTTGAGACTTATGATCGGAGATTGCCTAAAAATACATTTCCTGCAATTTAACTTAATTACTTATCAGTGTGTAAAGTGTGGGAAAATAATGTTACTGAGAAATATGTGACATTGCTTTATAATGGATGTTTCATTAAGCCTGAAAAAACTTGTTGGCATTAGCAGGATGACTAAGCATATACATCTGGTTCCTCAGTTATATTACTCAATAACATTACTTTCCCACACTTTACACACTAATAGTAATTATATGATAGTTTACAAGAAGTGTATTCTTAGGCAACTCCAAAAATAAATCTTAAATAATTAGATATTTAAAGTACAGTGGTCCCTCGGTTAACGAGCGCCTTGGTTAACGATTTACCTTCCATAAGATTCTTAACTTCGGTTAACGAGCAATCCCTCGATTAACGAGTCTTTTACGAGCCGACTTCAACATGTTTTCGCTTGCATTTGGCAGTCCACCAGCTGTAGTATTAGTCCGCCAATACAGTAATCGGTTTTAGGGCTTAAATTCCATACTATTTTAGTAAATATCAAGAAGTTTATACTATTCAATAATTTTAAAAGTTTAATATTAACTTTTTTAGTCATTTTAACAATTATTGAACATAATTGAAGGTAAAGAAGCTAGTTTCTGGCGTGCCATCCAGCCTGTTAACACACCAGACAGGCGTTAGTCTCTCTCTGTTTTCAGTGGAGGTAACATCTTGCTTGAGACTCTCTTCAACTAAATGCTTTTTTTCTGTGTTTCCAAGCAAATTATTGGTCATTTTGAAATATATTTTACATATTGACAATATCTAATGCAGTGAAGTGTTGATTTAAAGAAAATAATCTTGAAATACACCAAGAGAACTAAAATTTTATGGGTGAAATGGTGCCATGGGGTGACTTCTCTTCCACCCCAATACCTTCTCTTCTTCCTTCTCCTCCACCCCCATTCTAATTCCCGTCATCATCATCCAGGAACCTTCTACATACACACCTCAAAGAAAGTGTACTTTTCTACCTTTTTTGTTGAATTTAGGCAATTTTCGGTGAGCTGGAACCAATTACCCAAAAACCCATTGAAACAATGGTTTCGGTTAACGAGCAACCTGCTGGAACGGATTGTGCTCATTAACCGAGGGACCATTGTATATCTGTCAATTCTTCCCCATACTGTACATTGTTACTAGATCACTTACCTCATATCATGTTAGTTGGTTCACGATGAACTTCTGCTGTTGACTGTACAGTGAAGTGGGAATTTTTTACCCTGAGCCAGTAGTAGTTATTGTGTCCTGGTTAGTGTCCTTCAGCAGAACTTTCTGCACTATTTAATTCATGAATGTTGGGTAAAGTTCTTTGATGCCACATCCTACTGTAGTCATTCACGTGCTGGTGAAGAACTGTACACTATATATTATTCTGTATTAGCATCTCTAACTGCCTTACCACAGTTTACTCAATCTTACATATCAGAGAAAAACATTTGAGGTTACTTATTTATTCTAGCATGATTACAAACAAGTTTGGAAGTTTTCACAAGATGATGAATAGACATCACAAAAATCTTGACGTGGGAATAGCAATGAAGACAGCACTGACCCTTTAAATTGTTCATTGCTTTAACCAATAACATTGATCAATATCGGAGACAGATCCTACTTTAGAGAGCGAGCCAAGCACCAGCACATTTAATGAAGGTGTGTGTGTGTGTCTGTGAAGGATGAGACACTGGTGGCAAGTCTGGCAAGTGGTGTGCTGTTGGCTGGGCTCCACAGTAGGTCAGCACTGTGGCGGGTAATCAGCACGAGCATCTAGCACCAAGTTATGCTTCATGGTCTAGTCTTCATAACTTAGGAAATTGGAGCCCAAGGGTCAGATTTCATCCCGGGACATTTTGTGTGTGTTGTAATTATTAAAATGTACCCTCATGAAGCCCATAGCCTCAGTGCTCATTATTGCTAAGATTATGATGCAACCTATATGTCTGTTATTGAAATTTGTTGATTTGCTTCTCAGAATCAAGTCCATGAGCACATCAACAAAATACATAAACAGACAGAGATATATGTTGACCATGAAACCCGAGTATCCATTTGTGCAACCAATAGCAACCCTACAGAGGTCAATTTATGGGTTTGCTGGAGTTTACTACAATACACATTTTGTCGGCAGTTTATTAAAGAACTACATTTGACCAAGTTTATTTAATAAAAAAATTTAAATATAATATTAACACTTAAATTTCTAGTACAGTAATTCCGACAAAACTGTGGGCTGTAAGTCTCTCCAAGAAGTCCATCAAGTTAAATATCAACTTTACAGTATAAATTAGACAGGAGTCCTATCACTTGGTTCCTAAATGCTGTGTGTGGCAGTTTGATGCACAGACTGTGTTTTATTTACAAAGGAGAGGTGCACCTTGGAATATATATATATATATATATATATATATATATATATATATATATATATATATATATATATATATATATATATATATATATATATATATATATATATATATATATATATATATATATACATATATATATAAAGTCTACAATTGTGACAAACTAGGAATTGATGAATTAAAATTTGACAAGCTATGAGACTATTTATCCATCCAGAAATGAGAAAGCCTGTAAAAAGTTACATCCTAGGCTTCTACAATACTCTTAGTCACACCTGAAAGATAAGTTTTAATATGAACACACTGAATGGCTATGTAAATCTCTAAGTAATAATACATAAACTTTCTTTGTACAAACATATGACTGGTGTAGTGTTATGAGAGATATCAAGTTTTACTACTTAAGCTTGTCTTATTAGCCAGGTTATTTAAAAATTCAATGTATGTCTCAAGTCCTGCCACTTCCCTTTAAAAAAAAAATACTGTATATTTAAAACTGCAGCCGCCTTCACCTTCGGTGATTTCTATGAATGATCTTTCTTATTTATGAATTCCAAGATGCACTGTCTAATAAATAGGTATCTCTTCCTAATTTTATGATATCAAGAAAATACAGGAATATTAAACTACCAACTTACATCCTAACAGAAATATCAGTTACAAAAAAAAATAAATAAAAAAAAAATCCATCTTCCAAGACATTAAATTGTACCCATAGGGAAATCATTTAAAAAATTTCCTTTGAGAAATGAAAATAATTGGCACTGCACATATCTCCAAAGAAAAATGAAGTTTCTACTTCTCCCCCAAAATCAAACTATTCAATTCCTACTCCTGATATTCAACACCAATAAAAAATAAGAAAAAAACACATCCAAATATCCATGAAAGGGGAACACATTCAAAGTGACATTTAATACCAGCCCTCACATATGACATCTGTGGTACTACAAGAGAGACATGAATATGATGTCCCCTAAACAGATCTAGCGTCAAATTTGCAAATACAATTTTCTTGTACACCAAATTTTAAATATACGTACATGTATCTATCACTGATTTCAAATTGGAGCTAAGGCATAATGGGTATAAATATAGAATTAGTTTTGGTTTTAATCCAACACCTATTTTCCTTGTTCATATATATATATATATATATATATATATATATATATATATATATATATATATATATATATATATATATATATATATATATATATATATATATATATATTATATATATATATATATATATATATATATATATATATATAAGTTATCAGAGCTTCACTCACTCCCAGCTGTTAATTTTTCTTCAGAAATTATGAGAAAATGGCAATTAATTATCTAAGTTATAAGGTGACCTTAACAGCCACATTCAATATGCTAAATACATTGTGCACACACACACTCACACACACATGCACACCATTTACAGCACATAATATCCAAGTTATATGTATTCAGATACTTTTTAGAGGAGCACTTGCACACATGTACAGCATATAGATGTACAGTGTAAGTATCATGATGTATAGGTACAGTCTACTTAAATACACTGCACATACACATTACTATGTACTAAATGCAAGTAAACTACATGCTTACATATATACAGTGAAATATGCAATTTCCATTCTTTAATACTAGATGTGTAGATGCACAATGCATGTGCATAATGAGGCAAAAACACTTCTTTTACCACTGAAGTTCATCAGCATGTGCATGAGAGGTACTTGTCTTATATTAAATGTTTGGTGTGTTAACTGGATTTTCAATATTCATTATTTACAGAGAAGTTTAATGGTCGCAGTATTGTCAAGGTCTGGCTTACCAACCATAACTAACATGCAACAACTCTATCACTCACTCTTGGGTTTCTAAAACTTAAAAAAAGAAAGTCCTCAGAGGTATATTCACGATGAAGACTAACAAACATAATTGAGAATTAATGAATTATAAAAGAGCTTTGGTTCTCGCATGACCAGTCTGAGATATAATAAAACCACTGGCAGGAGGAAATTGTGCAAACCAGCCAATGTACCAATACATTCCTTGACATGTTTTCCTATTTAGCCAGAGTAATGTGTGATTCCCTACTCCTACTTCAGCATTATTTGAGTACATAATAAAATACTAGTTTGAACTTAGCAATCCTATAACAAGAATAAAATCACATATAACTGCAATGATTATCTCAAATAGCACTCCACTAAGGTAGTAAATATCAGCTATATAAATTGTATAACTGACTACCCGAGCTAGAGCATAAAATAAGGAACAAAGTCCACAAAGTCTTGTCTTGTAACCAACCCCGCTGGTCCCAACTACATTTTGTGCAGCCAACTATGAGCCTATCGGGAAAGTCTGTACTTTCTGTGCTTCATTTACAGTTCTTCAACAAACAAAATTTTTTATTTAAAAATATAAAAAAATAATAAAACTAAGCCTCCTTGTTACATATAAATTGATATCAAATATTTAGTTCATAAAAACTGTTCATCGTGTCTTACTTAGATAAGAATTACTTCTTGTAAATTAATTCTTTAATCCAGTAAATATAAAAATAGGTTTTAGTCTTTTGCTACTACTATTGTATTTTCTATGTTCTCAATACTGTATACTGTTATCAGTATAGAATGATAATACTGACTAAACACAATGAAGGAACAGTTACTGTAAAATGCAAATGACTGTTCATATTTTAGCCTCTGGCATTACTATGGAAAAGTTAGAAACAGATGACAAATTTCAAATGAAAAACTATTTAAATTCCTTTCAGGTGTGTGGTCACATTGATACCGAGTATTCTGGGTTTTACAGAGGTATACAAGCTATATAAATGTGCTGCAACTAGTACGTATCTGATATTTGTTTTTTTAAGTCATTTAGACCACACATCCTTCCAGTAAAATGCAAGTATATATTCTAATTGTGCTTTTTTCACCTACTTGGCTAACATCTTCCAAGCACCTAGATCATTCAAAAAATTATTATTTTTTAAACTATACATCAAATTCTTTCTGAAGCTAAAGGTGGAAAACAAACCTATTATTTCTTAGACGGTAGGATCATCTTCCTCGCTCTCCATCCCCAGGTCGTATATTGGGGAGCTATTTTCCTCCTAGGCTTTGACGTGGTCAATGCGACGGACAGTACAGCAGAGTACCATGGAGAAGATCATTGCCAGAATTTCAATCAGCAGAATGGCTCCCACAACACCAAGTACTTCATACATGTACTTTTGCAGCAGCTGCAGCATTTTCTCAGTACATCCCTGTTGAAAAAGGAGTACAGTAGTATTAAAAGTGTCTTGTGCTGTATTAAGTCAAATTCTGGTTCATGTAAATCTTCTTGGTGAGAGCTGCTGAACAGGACTACAAATACTTAACCCTCAGACAGTGGGTAAAGATTTCCTAATATGCCCCTATGTGCAGAAAAACTGGAACACGGAAACATGAAACAATGTTGGCCACTGTCCCTACTGCGAGCATCCATTGATGTTGGCCACCAACCCTACAGCTAACATCCACTGATGTTGGCCACTGTTTAAGGGTTAAAAGTTCTTCAAACAACCTGATCTATTGCTGTAACAAAGTTAACTTTCTCTCAATCTACATTTCATTGGCAATTTTCCCATGTAAAGTTACTCAAAGTGGCCCTTGACAGTCTCTAAAATCTGAGGTCCTTAAAAGTACCAATTACTATACAGGTAATCGCTTGTGATCATTATAGGCAATTAAAGTTATTATGAATACAGTATCTGTAATTCACCTGGGTTCAGTATGAGTACCTGTGAGTCATCTGTCATCATTAAGAGATCTGTGATTCACCTGTGATCAATATGAGTACTGTACCTGTGATTCATCTGGGGTACATTAGGAATATCTGTGAGTCACCTGGAGTCAATATGAGCACCTGAGATTCCTCTGGAGTCATTAGGAGTACAGTATATATGATTCACCTGAAAGTCACTTAGCATAATTGTGTAGGAGGTTCCAACACCTCGAATAACATGATGTTTCATAGCCTCAAGCATTATGATATATCCTAGTATAAACAAAATATTATTAACAGCAACCATATCTGCTGTTAGATGGCACCATTTAAATAAACTTTTTTTATTTACTCATGTGGATTAAAATACTGTATGACAACAACTTGTCCACAAACTCTCAGCAGATGCCAGTGCTGGAGTGACCGTTATACGATGGGGTTAGAGACTTTGAAAAGCCACTGTAAGGCATGAGTTGGAATGTGGAGGGAAGGAGAGCCAGGGTAGGCCAAGAATGATATACTGTAGGTAGAGGTTGTAAGAAATGACCAGAAATAAAACCTGAAAAGAGAGGTTGCAAAAGGCTGTGTAAATCAAGGCTAACCTATAAAAGTGTGGAAAATGGCTGTAAAATGATGATGATGATGATGATGTATTAAAATAAATCTCACACATTTTCAAATCTTCAACAAGGCACAGGGTTACACACAGTCTTACTGGCTTTTAATTTCTAAAGTAAATGGTAACTTTCCAGGAAGCATGCATATCCTGTTTATTATTTTTTTTCCAATAAATTACATGAAAATCTTTTTATGAACATTAAAGAGGAAGAAATTAAAATAAAACAGTATGTAAGATAAGAGACAAGCTTACCTCTTGGTGGATGGTTCCTGGGATTGCTGATGCAATGGTCATCTTGCGAGCAACATCACAGGTGGTTCCCTTGGTCACACAGCAGGAGGCCGGTACATTATAGGAACCGAGGGCTCCAGCAACACCAATCTCCAAGGCGCTACGTTCATTAGCACCATTGAAGCGAGAATCAGCCCAGTCAGTTGGTCCCTCAGATCCACAACACTTGAGCTGAGAAAAATACATGATAACTGATGATTGAACTGTTTCAGAAAAACACTTACATTACTAGATCAGGACAGACAATGAAAAATACTCTGCAAAAAAAAGAAAATAAGAAAAAAAAAGGCTAACTGCTCTATTCCTATACAATAACTACAGGTATTTGAAGCCAATGCCACAATATAAGACAATTACAATGGTTGTCAAAACTTTAAGATTAATTCAAGACTTTAGTCTTTGACTTACAATGGCTTTCATCACTGAAATTTTCTGAATTCAGTCATCAGTTCTAGATATGACTTTGAAAAATATAAATATTTGCCTATAATCCATAAATGATTCAAGCATCCACAGACAGACAGTAGTCTGGGTAACAATGACTTTAATCCTTGATATTTATTCAAATTCCTCCATCAATAATTAATTAATATTTGAATTTTTTTTTATAACCTACCATGAACTTTATAATCTCAACATCTATTTAAGCCATTAATCCACTTTCTATATAAGCACTTGGCACCAATGTCCTTAAAAATAATTAACCTATTGTTATGTCAAGGCATAATTTGGTATTACAGTGGTCCCTCGGTTAACGAACACAATTCGTTCCACAGAGTCATTCGTTAACCGAATCTATTATTTCCCATATTCTTTACAGAGTGCATTGGTTCTAATGTCTTCTTCATGTTTCATAATAATTTCTGCACTGTATATTATCAATATGTTAACTAAATTTCACAATGACCAATAATTTTAATGTAAAAATGCAAAAATATTCAAGAGACCAACAAAATCAATGTTCACTCCACTGTAAACAAAGTTAAACTGAGAAGCATTGATGGGTGATTAAATCAGCTGATGGGCACACAAAAACTGTTCCCTGTACTGTTTATATTATCAATATAACCAAATTTCAGAATGACCAATAATTTTAATATAAAAAATGCAGAAATATTCAAGAGACCAACTTTCTTGATATTTACTTCACTGGAAACAAATGTAAACATAGAACCAATTACTGTACTGAATTGGCGGACTAGCCGATCAGCTGATGCGCACAACAAAATGTGTTTGTAGTAAGGATTTCGTTAATCGAAGTTTTGTTCGTTAATCGAACTGAAAATCCTTATGGGAGCTAATTCATTAACCAAAATTTCGTTAATCGAACCGTTCGTTAACAACTGTATAATGTTTGTAAACTTGGTGTTTTGATCATTCCAAGCAGCAGTTATTTCGGCAAGTTTAGGGGGATTTTAGTGCATATATTGATGTATTATTCATGTAAGAATTTTATGGAATGTATTGCATCATTTTTGTTATGATTTACTTCTTATTGTAAGCCTAGATCAGAGTAGAACATTCTAGAACCAACCAGGCATCTCTGGGTGGTGCTAGGATGTTTGAGTGGCGTCTGATACCCTTGATTTAACAGAATCCGAAATAACAAACTCAATTTAGTGGAAGGAATTTTTCCATTATTTTTCACTCGATTTAGTGAACTAGTTCGCTAAATCAAGACTAATTCCGTTAATAGGCTCACATCTACGGAGACACCTCAGACATATGATATGTACTGTTAGCCAAAGATCCAGCGACCCCACCCTGAGTCTCATACTGGCAATACTTGGTAAAGTAAGGCTGTATGTAAAGGTGATTGTGACTGGTGGATCTATTTTCGGCTGCATTACTGTCAGGATAAATACTAAACAATCCAAAGGTAAATTTTCATAATAATAAACTATGTATTCATTGTTATTTTTGGCATGATGTCTAAGCACAGTAGTTAGTTGACCGAGATGTAGCAGGGAACAACACGCAGTGGCAGCAGGACATAGACTGAGCAAATGTAAACAAACGCCACTCACCAAGCGGTGCAGCTGGTGTGGAATTTAACGGAATCACACTCGATTTAGCAAAATAGTTTGCTAAAACGAGCGAAAATAACGGAAAGTTTGATTTAGCAAAAATTTCAATGTAATGGAAAGGGGTGGCTCGAATTAGTTCATTAAATAGAGAAAATACTGTATTTTGGAGAGCTGACCCACCTGCCTCGTATGTTGTTAACTTGTCATGAAACTAAGACTTTTGGAAGAATCATTACAATGCTCTACAGTAATGTGGCTTAGAAATAAAGCAAATATAAAATTATAAAATAAGAAAAATGAAGAGCATCGATGTGCATATGTGGGAAGTGATCGTGTGTGGAGGCGATGGGTTATGGCTATTTGTAACTGTGGCTGCACTCCCTCTCAATGTGACGCCACGGCATACACATGGCCAGTGTAGCCACACGTCTGCAAGCCAGCTGATGAGAATATATGTAGTGGTGTTCCCCAATTCTTATTACTCTCATTATTAAGTTCCTTGAATGCGGATTCCCCTAACATGACATTTCCGAGGAATCTAACCAGGGCTGTGGAGTCGGAGTCGAGGAGTCGGAGGAAATTTCGGCTTGTGGAGTCGGAGTCGGTAAAATTGTCCAGACTCCGACTCCGACTGAAGCTATTCTGTTCCTAAGAACAAATATATGAACTCAGGCATATTCATTGCAGTGATTCCACTGATCCCACTAATTTTCTTAAATTATTAAAAGAATTTATTTCCATTTTATAAGCATTATTATGAATTTATTGTAGCAGGCACAGTATAGCACTATAATTTTGGACGATAGTCTCTTCTTTACCATTTGAAATTTTGAATTATATCAAATTTTGTTTCGTTGAAAACTGCACAGAGGCTCTCAGCTACAAAACAATTAGCTACAACCTGTTTTTGGTGAGATTAAGGCAAATTTAATTTAATAACTTAATCATGTAAGGTTTATCCATTTTCCTTAATAAGGTATTCATTTCTTTAATGTACATAAATATATAACTTTACTTTAAAAGGAATTGTAGGATCATCATTTAGATCCACATCAGATTATGAGCTTAAACAAAATTCATATGCTGAGATCGAACTTTTAGATATACATGTAAATGGTGTTTTCTAGTTAATATCTTGAATTCTTAATAAATTTATTTTTCTTTTGATTGAAACTTTGAAAGTCAAGCCTATCATCTTTTTGTAGTTCTTAAATATCGTCCAGATCATTAATAAAGCTGTAGCAGTATAGCCACGGTGTTTTACTTTTTACCTACGCAGGTTACAACATACAAATTACAATTAGGATGGTAGAAATAGTTGTTACAAATAGGCCAAGGAGTCGGAGTCAGAAGCATAAAAATTTGAGGAGTCGGAGTCGAAGGTTTTGTCTTCGACTCCACAGCCCTGAATCTAACCCCCGTGTTGGAGGGCTTACAGTACAAGGTACTTAAATGAATGTAATTAAAGTACTGTAACTGTTTGCAAGCAACACTTTTAGTGATGATTAAACTAAAAATTACAGCAACTTGTTACAATATTAAAATTTCACCCCTGTTCATTATATTTACAGCTTGTACCAGTAACAGTACTGGATGTCCTTCAACTCTATGGCCAAATCTGTGAATTGCAAATACATACCACACTGTACACTGAAATTTCTAACCAATAAATTCTATGAATGTACAGAATGATTTAAATAAAAAATGTGAGTCATGAGTGCAGTACTGTACTGTACTGTACTTAAGTCATTAATAAGTAATATCCCAGTTAATGGCCACAGGAATGCTTCTCTATACTGTACACAGTTTCTTGAAAAATTGAGAACTGAGCAAAGTTGTTGCTTTATGAAGAATTGTTGTGTACCAATAATTATTATTTTTATTCTGAGTACAGTATATGTACTCCTAAATGTCAACAAGTAATCACCTCTACTGGAGGCCATGCTGGTACCAGCTACTAGCTTACCTCAGTCTGGATAACATCAAAGGCCTGGGTCTTGAGCTCATTGGTACCATAATCATGTTGGATGGATTTAGCCATGGATTTTACAGCCAGATCTGTGAATCGCTCTTCGTTGATCTTCAGCCAAATACCAGCAGCGATCTGACCGACGAAGAGAACGAAAACCAGAGCAAAGAACTGTTGGGGGAAAAAACAGATGTTATTGTATACTGTACAAACTATTCAAAATTAAATTCTAAGGCTGAACACACAAAAAAGTCCTGAAAATTTATGGCTTTCCTATACTGTACTGGTAATTCCTTTGCTTTCCTTCCCATCTTGAAATTTTCTATCAACCTTCCTATACTTCTACTTACTTCTTCAATTTCTAAAAAAAAATGTACAGCAGAACCTTGAAATCAGAACACTCAATAACCAGCACATCTTGTGAAGAAGGATCTTTTTCTCAGTCCTGATTACAGCACAGTATTTAGTTTTACAGTACTGTACTGTTTGCTGAGGATACACAGTACAGTATATGTACTGTACTGTACTTCTATTAAATATTGACTAGGTAATGTGGGTTGGCATCATTCTAATGAGGATTAAATACATGTTTTTCAGTCCTACACACCAGAAGTCTCAATAATCAAGATACTAGACTGCTTTGAGTTATAAAATTATCAAATGACTGCCAACAAGTTAGTTTACATGATAGTACTGTACAGTATGGATCCGTAGAGCAGGTAGGTGGGCAGAGGCAGAAGTTACACCATAGCCCTTAGCCTGAATACCCTCAATTCAAACACTAGTAAGACCATATGTGTTCACAGAAGGAACTGAAGTTTAGGTCAGTTGAGGTTATGTATAATAATAATTAGTTCATGTCAGTCAGGGTAAAAAATTGTGAATGCTGATGTTTGTTGTGAGGGTAATCAAGTTGTAAACTCAGAACAGTTACGGTCAGGGCAGATTATCCCACATGATAGTTAAATCAACAAACACTATATAACAAACTCCAGTAAAAAGCTAAAGTTCATACAATAGTGTGGTGGTAATGCTGGAGAAATTATCTTATAGAAAGTGGTGCACATTTTGTAATTGTTGACATGCTCAGTGATCAAGTTAAGGAGTGCTATGATTTACGAAAGGGATACATTACTGAAAACCTTTCATGAATCAATTTTTTGGTAAATCAATGACATTTTTCCTATTGATTACCATTATATAAAGGTAGATACGTTCCTACAAAAAAAAAAAGTTCCCCAAACGTAAAAATGTACAATTTTAAGAATCTTTTTGTGGGAAACAATACTTCTAAGCGTATGTATTAATTATAATAACATTAATAATGCAGTACAGTATCAAGTTTATTGTGTGGGGCCTATACAACACTCAGAGCAACTGATGGAATATACATGGCTATTATCAAGATTATTGGGTGTGACATCACCAAATTCCTCCTCCTGTTGTGTGGGGCCTGAGTTGTGGTCACTGCCATCTTCTTGTTAGTATGCATGTGACAGAGGCATAGATTCTTCAGTTTCTTCTTCCACATCAACATAATTGAAGTAATCAATTATAAATTCCTGCATCTTATTTGGTGGTTAGTTAGCCACACTTTTAGATCAATATACAGTAACACCTTCATATGATATTAGAGGTATCTGTACTGTATATGTACAGTATAGTCTCGGTTTACGCGGATTTTTTATACGCGGTTGGTCATTTACGCAGCACCTGTCCAGTCGCGCCAATTATTAGTTACGCGGTACATTCCTGAATTTACGCGGGAAGCGGCGCGGACAAGCTGCGCGGACAAGCTGCGCGCTAGGTCGCTCTTTCGTCACCGCTGACGTCAGATGACGTTTCGGACTGTGCTTGGGCCACGCATCCTTACCACCCTGTAGCGTATTGGTTAATGCAGTCAGCTCATAGTTGAAAGAACTCGGGTTCGATCCCCGGGGAGGGCGAGACACTAGGCAAAGCTCCTAACACCCAATGCCTCTGTTCACCTAGCAGCAAATAGGAACCTGGGTTGCTTCAGCATCCTGGGGAATGGTCTAATAACATCCGAGGGACAGGCGCCTCAACACTAGACACACCACCTATGCATCCCCTCCGCCGCGAGCTGTGATTGGTCTATTTAACCTTGCTTACCCAGTCAACAAAACATTACCGAGTTCTTCACCCGCCACCCACCACAGCCAGCCCAAGTCAGTGATAGTGAGGATATGGACTTTGAGGAGTTTGACAAGGATGCCCTGCTAGACTCTGTAGTGGATAGTGATACAGGAGATACAAGTGATACAGGTGAGGGACAATAATCTGCCCTCTGCCTCGGAACCAACCCCCCATCCCCGTGTGCCCAGCCATCTCTTCTACTAATGTAAGTGTTAAAAAACCTAATATTATTGATATTTCTCTTAAATATTAATTGTGTATGCATACCATCATAAAATTAAGATGTTATTTTTACTACAACGTACGCATTGTGTCGGAAAGAGGGTAGTCGAGCGGTCGGCCCAGTCTCTATTTCAATTAATCCCATATGTTCTGTTATTTAGTTTACGCGTTTCGCGTTATACGCAGACCTCCATGGGTTTAATTGACCGCGTAAAACGAGACTATACTGTATATATAAGTACAGAAATGTTGCCACACATTAGCCTGTACTGTACTACAGTACACTGCTCACTGTTCGTGTTCAGCAGGGGATGCTCTCTCAGATGCCTGTGTCAGTAACTCAGCATCTTCCGATCCTACGAAAAAATACTGTAAAAGCGGGGTTTTTGTTTGTATACCAAAGTGCTGGATAATTTTTTTTTCATATTAGCAAATTTTCGTAAATCAAAGCACTCCTGTCACAGACTCTACATTAAAAAAAAGTTAGACACCTCACTGAAATGGACATTCGGCCTCAAGTTACACAAGTGTCCAGATTATTGAGACACAAACTGTAATGCACTTCATCTTCAGATTCAAAATGATACCCCAATACAGTCACTTGTAATGAAACTTAAAAGTCTTACACTACCACTCACGTACAGTATGTTACTAATGGAATATATTATCACCTGCACACAGTATATTACTAAGAGGAAAACTAAAATTGTAAAATACCACAACAGCTCCAGCAATTAAATCTCTCAAACTGGGGTAGCACAATTTTCTAAAAATAAGTGTACCTCGATATAGGAAAGAGCTAGATTAAAAAAAAATTTAAACCATTAATTAAGCTGTACTCGCAAATTTTAAATTGCCTCTATATGTATATTTCTCAGTAAATTAGACGAACTCAACCATTTCCAGAAAAAAGGCATTCTATTGACCAAGAGACGCCCGACTTATTCCCTTGTGTTTCGGCATTTGAGGTGGATGTCATAAATTTTGTTCAAATTTCATACCAAGATACTTTTTAACCTGGTGGTTCAGGATCCAGGTTCCAAATCTTAAAATTTGAATAATTATTATTATTTAATATTTTTTTATACTGTAACCTTAAAAATAGCTGGAGTTCATTCTTAATGTTATCCCTAATAAAACATTGGTGACTATGCACTAATTTCTGTCTGCATTATGTTACAAATGAAAAAAAAGTGCAGATATCATTCATCAATTAGGTGAGGAGAGTCATGACAGGGGTGAGTAAATGCAACCAAAAATTAATTAAATGTAAGATAATAAGAAATTTGACACATGCACACACATACACAGAAAAAGAAGTCTCTCTCCTTATGAGAATGACATACAGTGCTGTACTGTAATCAGCTGAACTCACCGTGGCTAGCATGCACTGGGACTCCTGGAAGGCGCCGCAACAGCCGAGGAATCCCATGATGAACATTACGGCCCCGACTGCCATGAGGAAGTACAGCACATAGTTATAGCCTTCTATGTCCTGTGTAACCGGAGCCATGCTTGCACCATCCAGGTACATCCATAGTGACGTTCCAAGTAGTGCACCTCCCAGGAGCTGCAAAAGACATTAATTACTTCATGGTAATATGTACAGTATACAGTTCTGCAATAAATTTGAAGTATCATTAACTTACACAGCACACCACAGTGCTGGTATTACTGATAAGTTTACATATAATAAATATACAGTATAACCAGACCAAACATGTAGTAGTTTAATGCTCCAAAATTTTCTATTCACATACTGTACTGTATTTACTATCACCAACACAGAATATAGAGCTATATTGTAATGACATTTACACCAGTATCCCTAAAAAAGAAAAAAAAAATAATAATAATACCATAATAATAAATAAAAATCTTAAAGGTTTTCAAACGATCTCAACAAGTAGGAACACACTGGTCCTGGAAGAACGGACAAAACAATATGCAAAATCTCCAAGATGGATAAAATTTCGCAAACACCAGCAAAAGAGCCTAAATCATAATTGATATTCCCGTTAGCCGGAATAATTGGTGCAGAGCTCTTCCGGGGTTGAGAGTTTTCCAGGTAATGAAGACGACTCTTAAACCCGGAAAAATCCCACATCCCTTAAATTTTGTAGTTACTGTACGGTAAATACAGTGAAGTAAACAATACTGTAATAGAATAATGAAAGTACGTACGTAATGTAAAAAAATGGGATTTTAATTAGAGATTATTGTGATGAATGTACACAATTGAGATCACATTCATGAGTGACGGTGTTCGTAACTCGGGTACAGTCTGTATTTTTTCCTCTGCTTTGAAGCCATGTCCATGTTTGTTGGGACAGGTCATGAAAGGTTATAACTCAATAATTCTATATTTCCCCAAACTTTCATTATCACCACTGGTGGGTGGATATTTTGTCACTGGTCCATTGAATGTCATGTTATATTTATTAAATTTTGATTATAATGTTTTCTTTTTGGAGGCGATGAAGCCATGGTTAGGTTAGGTTTATATTGAACTGGTGATGGTCTAGAACTGGTCTAGAACCATCAATTTATTCATGAAAAATACAAAAAGTAGACTTAAAATTATTTTTTAACTGTATAGGATTTTGCAGAATAGCTGTAATTACCAAATGGACCACAATACTGGTCTTCATATTTACCTGACTCGAAGGAAATTAAAATATCTGTAGGCTTTTTACCAAATTCCTAAACTAGATTCCTTCAAACTACCTCATATACAGTATGTCCCTGAAAGGTTCGAGTAACTAAGGCCTAAGCGAGCACACTACATATATGTAATGGGATACCTAAAATAGCCTTGGGTAAATTTTTCTTGTCACACCGTTCACTTTTAGCAAGTTAAAAATATATTTTTCTCGTGTATTTGTGTGTGTTGAGATTGAATATGACCTTCCTTTTTGGCGGAAATTAGCCGGGTTTTTTTTAGCGATTTTTTTCGTTTGACGTTTTCCGAGAAAAAAAAAGTGGCTAAGCGACTAAAAAATACACAAAAAAAAAAACACGAGAAAAACCAAAACCTAACCTAACTTAACTGACTCTCATCATATGATGGAATCACCTACTGTATTTCTTACCTTATTGGCCTGGTTCTTGTTCGTCGTTGCATTCTGGGAATCTTACACAACGCCACACATGTTGGTGTTTGCGATATTTACATTCCGTCTTGCTCTTAGTACACTTTACTGAGGTTGGAAGAACACCATGTGATCAAAAAATGCTATAGTTTCTATGTTTTTTTTTCCAAAAACTCGCAATCAGCTCCATATACTTTAAGTGACATCCATCGCAGACTTCCATGGTCGGAACTGAACTTGAATTTCAAAATATGAGACCCAAAATAAAATTCGATTTTGATTGGGCCAAATATACTCTGAATTAAACCCAAAACCATTTTAATTGGTTCCAAAAGCAAAAAGGCTTTTGATTGGCCACGTGACGTGTACAGCAACGCATGCGCAGGATGATTTATGAAGGAGACGCAGGAGACACGCAGTGTTGGAGGACAGGCAGATGATAATGGCGGGATGTTAATGGAAGAAAATTGAAAATATTTTGGAAAAGCTGTCTCCGTTATTATACATTTCCACCGGTAATGTAATAGATGAAAATTATCTTATAATTAGACGTCTTATTCGAATTTAATAATAGATTAGAGGTAGGAATGAACGGTGTGTAAAGTAAATAATACCTAGACTTGCAATTTCTGTACAGTATTAAATGAAACCATCGAAAAATGGGTCCGACTAATTACCCAAATGTACCCAAATGTAGCCAAATATAGCCGGAATGAAGTCAAATAATGGTCCTAGATGAATAAATCGGACTGCCAATCACTTCTTGACTAGTATTTGGTGTCACAAAGTCACAAAAAGTTGGTAAACTTAATTTAATCTGAGTTAATAGATCAAGTGCATGTACCTAACCTAACCCAACATAACCTAATCTAATCTAATCTAATCTAATCTAATCTAATCTAACTTAACCTAACCTAACCCAACACAACTCAGATTAAATTAAGTTTACCAATTTTTTTTTTACTTTATGACACCAAATAATAATCGAGAAGTGATTCACAGCCCGATTTACGCTTGTACGACCATCATTTGACTTCATTGCGGCTACATTTGGCTACATTTGGGTAATTAGTCGGACCATCGAAAAACAAATACTGTACTGGTAAAATTGCAGTTTCACTACCAATTGGTTTTTTACCAGAAATCTAGGTTTTCTCCATTGTATTTGGTGTGATTCATTCGAATTTGACCTTCATTTCCGTCGGAACTTAGTTGGTTTTTAATTATCCTCCCCCCCCATAGAACCTGACCTAACCAACCAAAGAACCCTGTCTAACCTTACCTGCCTTCTAGAGCCAGGAGGCTCCACCCCCCACAATATTAATCACAAAGTACTTATATTGATATGCGGTACCAATGAAAACAACTTTGTTAAAGCATCATGGTGTAATTTTATGTGTTTTGTAGACGTGAGAGTACGAGCGGGTCAGTTAACACGACAAGCTGTTACTGCAATAAGACCAAACTCCTGTAGACTACGAGGTGCTAAACTGAGGTCGTCTCCCTGTTGTGCTCCGATAAAAAAAGTGTGATAATAAACCGAGTTATTTTACAAGAAAAAGTCACAGGATGCCATCATGATAGAAGAAGGTGTAGCGTTGGAGGTAACGGAGATATGCTGGTTTTATGGGAATTTCGCCATGAGATCATTGCCTGAAATGGCTGAGCTCCCCAAGGCAACGACACCGTCCCCCAAGGCCCCAAACCCTGTCGCCCTTCTCAACCCAAGTCAAGTAGTCAACAATAAACATTATTTTCTTTGCTACTCAATTTTTTCCTATCATTAAATTTTTAATTCATATTCATAACTTATTTAAGCCTTCATTAAAACGAGATAATTATAATATAGAAATATATTTTAGGCAGGTAGGCTGGATGCCAGTGGTAAACATGCCCCTAGTTACTGGGATTACTATTGCCAGGATCTTTAAGATTTTGTTTAATTTTATTTTTCAGAAAAGCAAGTGATGAGACATGAATTTATTGTGTGCGTGTGTGTGTGTTTTGCCAGCCCAGAGCTGGCTCTGGCTGGAGGCGACTCGAATTTCAAACTCGTCAAACTTATCACCTTATAAGTTTAGACATTTCCCTACAACACCACCATCACCCATTCCAACACTGCACTCTAACCTAGCAAGTTACCTTTCGTTTTCCTAAATAGAAAAGCAGGAATAAACATAAAAATTGACCTGTGAAAATATCGGGGAACTTTACATATTATGATAGATTGGAAAAACTATCTCATTCTCCCTCTTATCACTGTAGGGTGTGTTAACCTATGTGTGTTACCACGTGGGCATCTACTTACTGTAATATATTTCATTAGCCCAATAAAGCACGCGGACTTCTACATATAATCAACACACCCCGCCAGGATTCGAACCCACGGCCCACGACTGTGACCAGGGAACGCTACCTCTAGACTCAGTCTAGAGGTAGCGTTCCCTGGTCACAGTCGTGGGCCGTGGGTTCGAATCCTGGAGGGTGAGGTGTTGATTACTGTAATATGTGTTGCATAAACGCACACTGAACCAGCACACGTCCTTGAAGGCAATACGCGATCTGGGGGTTCATCTGTTAGTCTGGTCAGTGTTTCTTCCTCCGATACACTACACCGGGATGGGCGAGGGATCGACTACCTAGCTGCCCTAGCATCTCTCTGGGTGTCTGATACTTTCAAAATCTTGTTCTAAAATATCCTCAAAGGCTCTCTCTCTCTGAATAGGTGTGTGGAAGAGGCTAAAAGGCAGAACTCTCTCTTCCTTTGGCTAGTTTGTCTGTCATGTCAGCTTCACTTCAGATGATGGGAAGAGAGGAAGGGGAGGCGAAGATGATGGGCCCTAACCAAAAAAAAAAAAAAAATAATGGGAGCCCAAAGAGGGACATGAAAAGAGACGGGAGAAAGGTCTAAATGAGAAGGGGGAAACGAACAAAGAGAATGATACACACAAAAGGGTGGAACAGAAGAAGGAAAAGGTGAAGTCATGGGAAAAAATGTTGTACAATAGACATGAGGAAGAGATTAAAATGCATTAGAATGTAAAAAGAGAAGGATAAATACAATAGAATGAACGAAAGAGAGAGAAAGAGAAGAAGAAGAAGAGGACAATCGAATAAATTAGGCACATAAAATAACAACAGCAGGTAAAATATCTATTGCAGACATGATCACCGAGAGAGTGTTGCGGGCGGCGTGGCCAGAGGTGTCCCAGTATCAGCTGATGGACTGGTCAGCTGATACTGTTGACATCACGTCTTGCTTGTGCCCACAGCCTAGCCCTTATGAAACTTGGTCTTATTTATATATTTATTTATCTTTATAATTATGAATTTATATAATACGAGGTAATTGATGCTAGGGTGATCTCTGACCGTGTGAAGATATATTTGAAAAAAATATATTCATCACTTACGAAGTCTAGAAGTCATTAATATGTATTTGTAAATCACAGTGCCAGGTAATATAATAACATCTGTA